GTACAGAAGAGATTTGACCCAGCCCCAAAGGAGTCAGCGGGAGCAGAGCTGTGTGAATTGCCACTATACAGGGTACATAATGAGGCAGGAGCTAGCGACTGTGCAGCCTTGCGATCCAAAAGCCATGGCCTTGGCAGGTGCTGAGCTTGGAAACTGGACTGCTCCAGCATGCCTGATCTTTGGGAAGCACTGACCCACTGCCCTTAACTTTGGGCATCTTTACATCTGCATTCAAGCTTTGATCTCTCTCGTGAGCCACGTTCTGTCCTGCGCAGGCAGACCTGCTGTTCCCATCAGAGAGCTCACCTGGTAGCAGAAGCCAAGCATGTGCTCTCCTGCAGAGGAGCTGACCCATGGCAATTTTGGACCCCGAAAGACTCACAAGCAGGTTTTCTCTCTGCTTTTGCACAGTGTGTACTCACCAGTGCGGGAGCCGTGCTCTTTCTTGTCAGGATGCATGTACTTGGGGCCACCACAAAAGCAAAAATCTCCCAAAGTAACAAAAAGAAAACAATAGCCAAACCCATCAGATTTATGATTACTGTTTTGTCCCCGTTGGCTCTTATGAGTCAATATAGCTTGCCAGCTCCTGCTGTCCCTTTCTGTCTCATGGCAGCGATGGTTCATCAGCAAAGCTCCAGGACAGGGTTAGCTGGGAGACTGTGGCTCCAGCCACTGCTCACTCAGCTCTGCAGGCAGCCCTGAGAGCCATGAGCTTTGATAGCTCCTGGTGTTTTCACACCTTCTGTTTGCTCATTAGTTTCTGCTGCAATGATGAGTCCTTTGTTTCATTGTTATTTTAAGAAGCGCTTTCAGCTCCCTCATAAAAACGGGTTTGAGGAAGTAACATGTAGAAACAGACAACACAACCAGACTGCTAATCCCTACAACTACTGGCACTGCTACTTGTCCCAGCAGCTCCTCGTGCTTCCACAGCGATGCCCTGAGCGTGACCGACACGCAGCAGCCAACGGCCCCCCAATTACCCACCCACTGCACACCCCGCATATATAGGAGCCACCCCAGGAGAGGCAGCAGCTCATCTGCCTTCTGGTACACCCTGGGTGTGGCAGCATCAGGTCCTTCAGCAACCCAATACTGCAAGGAGGGGAGCTGGAAAAGAAACTCAGCCCACTCCATGCTGCTGCCTCCAGAAAGCAAAGCAAGGACAGGAGGAGCAGGAAACCCGTGTGGGGCCAGTGGGTCTGTGGCAAGTGGTTCCTGCTCAAGCAGCTCGTGCTAAAGCAGAGGGGATACAGCGACGGTGAAGCTGAAGGTCCTTCCTGGTCATCACCATAATTCTATATTGGCTTGGCTAGTCTTTGCCTTTTGGATTAATTTTATTTATCTCAATGCAATTCTCTTAAATGAGAAACACATTCTAGTTTGTTTCTTCTTTTTTTCCCTTTCTTTTTCTAAAGCTTTGGATGCTGGTCTCAAAATCCCATTTCTCTGTTCCCATTCAATATTTAATTTTAACATCCTTTGATTTTAACTGCCTGGGTTCGAAATTCACTTCATGGCTTTAATTTGCATGTTGCAAATGTATAACACTGATTATTTTTGCGATATTCTAAATATTACAAGAAAAATCTTTCACATGCATACCAAACTTAAATATTGGTAAACGCATTCAAATCAATAGCAGATACTTTTAAGATGTCCTTGACAGAACATCTGTCTTGAAGATTCATCTTCACATGTTAGTTACAGTTGAGATACTGAGTAGTCACTGGTTTTAAAAATGTTCAAAACCAAAGTAAAAGGTACATGCAGCCCGATTCTCCTCAGGACATGTGGGACAACATTTTTCATACTGGGATCCAAAAATCCATGTTCAAAGCTACACGTGAACGCAATTTCACTTTTCTCCAGATCCAGGCCCATGGCGGGGCAGTGTGTCTGGAATACATATGGTACAGTTCCTCCTCCTGTTTCTCATTTGGATATTATCCAACAACACACCCCTGCCCCCCCTCAAAAATCATCCTTGTTCAGATCAACATTACATTGCCAATGTAACATCTCTCCAGTGAACGTTAAGATATAATTACCCTGTAAGGAATGATTGCTATTAAACATGTAACACATCTCCCTCTAATTGAAATTTAAGCCTTTGATTGTGGTTAGGTATCACTAAAGATGCGATTAAACGTAAAATATGTATAATGCTTAACTCCTTCTGGGGTGTTGGGATAGTTTCCACTAAGTAAGAAAGAAAAATAATTTCTTTGCACTCCAAATTTTTTTAAAGTAGCTTGAGCTCAGCTTTGCCCTCCACCTCTCCACTCCTTGCACCCTGCTCCGTCACAGGGCTTCATGCTGCCCCAAACCTCGCCCTCTGCTACCTGCCTCTCCTCTGGCTCTGGCTGCCTTGTGATATTCCTCTTCTGTGTCATAGCTTCTCAGCCTGTGCTTAGAAGTCTTCTTATGCAGGACTATTTGCCGTGAAGGTATAAAGGAGAAAAACATACGTTTTCCTCTTACACAAGTAATCTGAATGCGAGAGTTGAACACACTGAGCATCAGCAAGGATACTAACAATAGCCCTAAATCAAACACTTGCACATATGCATTATTTTTTTTTGCCTGTTATTAATAATCTTGCTTACAGCCTAAAAATCAGTCCTTGATAAAGTTTCATCTGTAAAGGTAAACACTTCAAAACTACGTAATTCCACACTTATCAAGAACTTAGACAAAGACTTGAAGAAGTACCAGCAGCTGTTTTCCCTGTACATGTTTACTTCTTTTCTTCAAGCAGCACAATTAACAAAATATTGACTGTAGCATTTCTCACTGCCACCTTTGCCTGCTCCCCTGGGACAGCTGTGCTCAGGCCACCAAGGCCCTGCCCATCCTCCAGTAAAATAAAACCTGTGAATGTCAGCAGTGGGAAAGGGCATCTGCTCTTGTACTAGCCTCTGTCCCTGAACTGCTCTTCTCTGTGTGTTTTATCTGCCTTGAGCTGATATTTGTGCATAAAAGATGACAAGTGATGAAAGTTTGTTGTGTGGTTATTTTAAAATTGTCCTAATACTTGAAAATAAAGCAAGTCCAGAGAATCAGTTTCAAAAGTAACTGAAAAATAAACCCAGATGCCAGAACACACTGTGAAATAATATACCGGAGAAAACCTCAGCTCTGAGAAGAGACGACCATGTTCTTGTGGTTGCATTAAACAAAAGGAGTCTTGGAGTGGAGATTTTGGCAGAAAAAAATTGGTTTAGATCTCCTGTAATCCTGAGTTTGAAAAGCAGCGATTGTATGAAAAGAGCCCTTTCTCACAGGAGTTGCTCTGTGGCATGCAAACACTGTTCAGTTCTATGAGGGTTTCATAGCTCACAGACGGGAGTGGATGTGGGATTCAGCACCGACACACCTCACTTCTGCAGTTGCAGTCACTGGGTTTTATGGCAGTGAAGGGCCAAACCCCATCTTTGTAATAATCCCACAGCCTCACATGCCTTCTGCATTTCTCTCATTCTCTCCCCTTAAATGCTGGGATAATCCATGGTTCAATGCTTTGTTTTTTTCTCCCTGTTGCAGCCCTGGTTGAAAGCTAATGTTTGCTAATCGCTTTCATGCCACTATGTTGAAAGTGCTTGAACACAGCAGGAGAGGAAGAGCCATCTGGAATAAGGACCCAGCCACACTCAAGCCTGAGCATCTGTAACATCAGCAATAAGCTAACAGCCAGAATGGGCTGGATTTTCAAACCCCCAGAGAAGGCTGCAGAGCCAGTGGCTTAAAACAATCCAAACCCCACAACCCTTAGTCTTACACATGAAGCTCATTTTGTGTGCAAGCTATTGAGAAAACAACCCAGGGATCTCCTTACCTCTGCTTTACAGACTGCAGCTTGGCTTCAGACCAGCCTGGTGTCAGCTTGCAACATTCCCTTGGTGTGAACCATGCTTTTGCAATCTAGTTATTCCCAAAGATGCCAAACATATTTATAGTTGCTCAATTCTTGTGAACATTAATTAGAAACAGTCTGTCTCCAAATCACCTTGATGGCTTCTGAAGTACCCAGTCCACCAGGAAAGAGCACCACGTGGGTTTCAACCCTTAGCAAAGATTTCTTCTGAAAAATCCCAGATCTGCTGACAGTGAGACACAGCAGCAAGTGCTGCCAGCACATGCAGCACCGGCAAGCAGGCAGAGACTAGACAATGGCACTTTTACCTTGCACATAGAGATAGGGTGTATTTAGAGGCCACCCTTGGCTCTTGCCTGCAGGGCCAAACTACAACTTGAGTTGAGATTCACCAGCTGTGAACTGGGGTTGTCACAGGAAGATACAGGGAAAGGAGACAGTAGGGCAGAATGAGGTAAGACACTAGAAAAACCCTCCTGGTATTCCCATGTAGCAAGACATAGCGCTGGCCTCTGCCCTGAACAAACACTCATGAACCTGTGGAGGCCTCAGGGGAATCACCAGGGTTTCTCCAGGGAAATGAGCCACAGCTTAATGAAATTGTGGGGATTTCATGCAGAGAAGGAGGATCCTAACACAGACCCACAAAAAGCAGGGACCCTTGGAAGCAGGGATTTTCTATGGGCAAAGGAATGAACATGAAGGAGCATGGGAGTGCTGCACTTAAAGGGAACTCATAACAGCTGGCAGAACTGCTCCACCTCTTCCCAACATGATGCAGAAACTGAAACAAACATCTCACTAGAGGCATGCTGTTTCCCAACAGGCCTCAGGCAAAACCTGGGACTACGAGCTTCAAAGGAAGAGCAGGGCTTCCTCTGCCTCAAGCAGGAGGACTACACCAAGGCCCTGTTTCCCAGGGTGGCCTCAGTCTAGGGCCATGGAGAGAATCTGAAGCCATGCTCTGCAGATGGTTGTAAGTGTCCCTACCAGCAACCACAAACACAACAGATAGCCAGGATGTAGGAGGCATCTTGATCTCCACTGCTCTGGAAAGTGCTGACATGGGAATGAATCAATGCACAGACCTTACAAGAGAAAACTTTATGGACGCTTTTATACACATACACAAATATTTTAATATAATGGTAACTGAAATGTTATCCATATTCTTAGTACTGTCATAATTAACTAAAAAGATATTTTTTAAATTTTGTAAAAATGACATATTTTACACATCTTCTATTTACAATTGAAATATACTTAAATGTTATAAAACATCCACTCTGACCTTTAAAATATATGTATACTAGGACTTAGTATTAGATATATTATAATTTATAACAAACTTAGGGTTTGCTGTGTACCTATCTGTTCAATGAGAATTTCATAACCAGCCTGGCTTAATAAAGGCTGCTCAAAATCAAAAATTGACAACAAAAAAAAAGATAGGGTATGTGCAAATATTGGGGCAGACAAAAAAAAAAAAAAAAATCAAGCTTGCAGTTTTAAAAAATAACACTGTGAAGACTTCCAATAAATTAAAATCATAACCCACAAATCCTTTTCCTGGCATTGTCCGTGTTCAAATTAATTTTCAGTATTATTAAGCTAAAAGGAAAAAAACCACCCAAAGAACAAAACCCATCCCCAGCCACCCCAAGTCTTCCCAAGGCCATATGTTCCCCATGTTGAAGTCAAGCATCAGGATTTGCCGGAGTGGTGGCTGCTGGCACAGATGAGCTGGCTCTACTGATGACTCGTGAATAAGTGTGCTCCATTCCTTGCTGTTTTGCTGAGTCCTCCTTGTATGCAATCTTTTCAGAAAAAAGAAAAGAAAAAAAAAATGCAACAGTAAGAGAGATCTGAATAGTTTGGTGTCTGAAGTGTTCACTGTCTAACCAAGGATTTCCCATTGTTTATTTATTACACAACCATGCTAAGGATCTGACAGAGGAAAAGGATGTTTGCCTGGGGACCCAGAAGTGACCGGAGGCTGCAGCGAGAGGGAAGACATCCTCTGAGCTGGGGCAACACATGGGACTGGGCTGGGCTCACTGGCTTCTGCCAAGTGGTGCTTCATGGGGTTCCCTGAACTGTGTTTATCTAACAATGCTCATACAAACACAACTGAGAAGTCACCTACATTTTATAAACTCAGAAGACGCCTGCACTAGCACCTACTGACTGTGGTACAGACTGGCCCCAGCTGTGCCCGTGCAGTTGTTAGGGGCATGCAGCATCGCCACTGAGCTTCATACACATGGCAGCTGAAAAAATATGCCGGTTAGCAGGGTTTGGAGCAACTGCCAGGCTGAGGCTGGAGGCAGAACTGCACTCGGGGAGGAACAGTGGCAAAAGCTTGCTCTGCCCAGTCCTATGTATAGGCTTCAGCAAGAAGGAATTTTTTTTTCCCCTGAAGAAGTTCTCTTAATCTTGGTTATAGGTATTTTCCCTACTTGCTTCTGTAAGTACACACTGAAAACCTGACTTCTTCCACGGGGCACTATGCTGAAGCATCCACAGCAGAGACACGGGCCATCCCCACTGACCACGCAGCTGTCAGCAGTGGAAGAGAAACCTCTCCCCTTCACAAAGCTCCAGGAGTAATCTTACACCTTCAACCCCCAGTTATCTCTGGTCAGGGTTGCAGGTCAACCAGACCACATTTATTACTACTCAGGCAGACACGAGCATGCTGCCTCCATGTACAGCTTTACTGCCTGAGCCAGCAACTCGGGCAGTTCCGGGGAGGAGCTGCTCCCACGCTGCGGGCTGGAGGAAGAGCGCCGGGCACAGGCAGTCCCTGGCAGCACCCAGCAAAGCCCGGGAAGCTGCAAGGAGAGCAGGGCAGCACGGCGGAGCGCAGGAAGGCTGCGGCACATACTGCCTGCCCAGACTGCCAACTTCACCCAGCCGTGACTCAAATCCAACGCTCTCCCCGGGGGCATCAGAAGAAGAGAGCTTGGGGCGGCTGCTGTTGCACTGGGCTGTACGAGTCCTTCCGAACCCTGCACATCCCGGCTTGCAGGCTGTCCGCCGCACCCCAGCCTGGCCTCAGCCTGCGGCCATGAGCAGCGTGGTGGGCAGGGCTGTGAGAAGGGGACCACACTTGTGGTTCAAGGGGGGCTTGGCTTAATCGGTACCTTTCTGTGCCATTTATTCCCACCCCTTCCATCTGGCCTCTTTTGCTACTACTGGTACATGCTTTTGCATCAGGAGGTTGTTGTTGAGCTGCCCCACCGATATTCCTAAGTTCCTGACTAGGATCCTAAGGTACCTTCTTTTTTTTTTTTTTTTTAATACTCCCTGAGCAAGGGAGTCATTAGACATGAAACTAAACAAACATGCCAAGTAGAAAAAACAGCAAGTGAGGAAAGTACGTGACATTAAAAGAAAAAATAGATGTAAGAAAAATGAACATACCACTTTTGGCTATAGTATTGAGGGAAATGTTAGACAGGGAAGAAGAGAAGCTGTATAAGCAAGGACCATGACAGAGCTGTCAGAAAAGAAAAACAAAACAAAACAAAACAAAAAAAAAAGAGAAAAACATATGGTGATGAAAGAGTCACTGTCAGTGGGTGAGCAAACAAAACCCTCTTTAATACAACAATGGGAAAGATGGCAAATCTTACTGGTGTAAAGCACACAGCACAGTAGCAAGACAGCCTCAAGCTTTCCAACTGCGAGATAAATATTTCAGCCACAGTTTACAGCATGTGATTTCTCTGAGGCAACGCTCTGCTCAGAAGTAGGGAGTTCAGGCATTCATTGCAAGAGCAGCAGTTTTCCCCCAAAGCCACACTGCCTGGAAAACTGGGCTGTCGCTTATAAGGCTGACCCACAGGGCTGCAAGTGGGAGACTGGTTTTCAGTGTGGACTTTCAAATTCAGATGATTTTGGTTAAACAGATGATGATGCTGACTTTTGCTGGATGAACTCTTAACTTTACATATTAACACTGTTATGTACAAGTAATTTTGTATTATTTAGTCTTTTCATTTACGTGAAGAAAACTCAAGAGTTCGCTGATACAAACACAGCTGTGAATATTTAATAGAACTCACGAAATATTTTATGAATGCTGAAACTCTTGGGCTGCTCATGTCTCATTTAAGTTGACCATACATTTTCCATTCTCACAGGGAACAGCAGTTCACACAAGACATATGGTACTGCCTACGCACTTTGACTGGATGGCCAAAATAACTTCCACAGGAGAGGCATGAACATTGAGTAACAAATGATACCTTTAATATTTACACAATTAATTTAAGAAACAGTGATAAATATTAGTTATGATAAAATTACTGGAATGCTTAAAGTTCAGAAATCTTTATACACCTAAACAGGAAGGGAGCACAACTCACAGAACAGCAACCACCACTGAGCTTGACCCCCACCTGGCGTACACCAAACCTTCAAAGCAATCACACCGCTTTACAGCCTGTAAAAAACTAGCTCAGTTCCACAGTAATTCTAACAAATCCTGGCCAAAAATTCTCGTGAATCCTTATTCTCCTCACATGTGAAGATGAATAATACAGCACGGTCTAGAGGGATGCCAATTAGACATTTCTGTGACATGCCATCACTGATACCAATGGTTAAACAAAGTAACTTTGTACTCATTGCTTATGTGTGCTATAGGCACCTGGAAATGCAGTGCAACTGCTAGAGAACAAGTATTTCTCTGATGCAATCTAAGATGGCCTAAACAACAACATGCAGGGAAATAATTAAGCATGATTTAATGTGGATTTTAGTACGCAGAATCACCCAATATTTAAATTAAACCAGAAAACATAACAGCTGAAATACATGGCATGTATTTTGACAGTGTACTTAAATATAAAAAAATAGAAAAGAAAGAACTCTTGCTCTGAAAGCTGAATACAAATAGAAACTATAAAGATACCTCCCTCCAGTCACAAGCTAGGTCTTAAAAGCAATTTACTGTTTTAATTAAATACATCACAGCAAAGCATAAAACACTCATTTAACCGATTATCTTTCTACGCCTGTGACCTCAGTCTGCATTTAGCCTCAAGAACATTCAGCTTTTCAATATGTAGCAAGACATGTAGAAGACAAATCTTTGATATCAATCAGACTAATTACATATAATACAGCTGGGTTTAAAAAAGGGAAGGGGGGAGGACTAAATTATGTTTTCTCAGTGACTGTTGCACTGCCAGGTTTTACTTCTAGTATTTTGCTCTACAGCTTAATTTGTCACTAGAAGACACAATTAGCTACCCTCAACTCAGCCCAGCCAGCACCAAAAGAGATGATCTAACCTGTTCATTCATAACTGCAGAGAGCTCGCTGAGCATATCCTTATAATGAGACTTCATCTCTCCCTGATATTCAAATTGGTCCTCCTTAATAAGGCGTTCATTGACATCAAGAGCATGTCCACATGCTTCTGCAAATTGCCTACAAGCACAAAAACACAAAGAACGACCATGTAAATTTTGTAGTAATGAAAAAACCCTATCTATATACATGTACAGGCACACTACTGTACTACTACTCCCCCCTGCAAATTACACCTTGTTAGAAGTGAATTTCATAACTCATCCTCAGATCAAGAGGAACATAGGCTACTAGGATAGCCCAAAACATCAGCAGTGTTTTCTTGGGAATGATGTGTAAGACAGGGTAAATGCAGATGTAAATTAGCCTGGTTCAACTCAGCTTGACTTTGTGTCACACCTACTCACACTACTCATACTATGCAGAGGGTAGAAAGTCTAAACTTAATGTTTACCTGAAGATTTCCTTCAGAAGCTTAACTTGATTATCAGGGTATCTTTTAGCATTTGTCTCTTCAAGAAAAGCTCGAGCATAGGCCATTGGTCCAGCATTTACCTGGGGGAAAAAACACAGCTCAGGTGCAAAGAATTAGCAGTTTATTTTCATTTTCTCTTGTGTTCCAAGGCTTGAGAACTGGCCTCAGGCAACCAAGCCTGTGTGAAGAACATCACCTCGCTTCTCTTGTCACCTGGATGACACCTGAAGGGTTTTACTGAACAAAGGGAGCTGGTCAGACTCGTGCAAACTGCCTATCTCTGCTGGCCTTTGAAAGTCCTCAGCTAGTTAACCACCTAGAAGGCTGTATGCTTGAAGACATTTTAATGAGGGCACCAGAAATACACACACCTCTCACCAATCCCAACTTTTCTAAATAGGAAATGACAGAACCAATCATAACAAATCTCCCTTTAAATTGTCTGCATGCTTGGCTGTGCGGTGGGCTGTATTCTCAAGTGACACATGATGGTCTTGTTAGAAAGGTCTTAACGTTTATTTAGAGAAGATTTGACTGAAATAGCTACATATGCACATAAATCCAGCAGTCATCAACATCAGTGGAAATCTTCCCATTCCCTCACATTTTTAGAGCGGGCTCCAACAGCACTGGAATACAAGATACAACCAGAAATATAAGAGAGACAACAAATGCCTCGATTGATGACAATCAGAATAAAAATTTAGGTAGATGCATGAAAAAATAAAAGAAAAAAAGGTGAATTGTCATTACCTTGACACTGACACTTCCTTGAAGTTTGAGCTGCAGTCGGATCATGTCCACTTCTTCCATCGTACAAAGCTGATTGAGCTCTGAGACTTTTTTGGACATCTCGTCAATCGCTACTTCGATAGGGTTCAGCTCTGTGCTGGTTTGGCTTATGACTTGAATACGCTTCTTCACGTAGGGAAACAAGTGACTGGCTACTCGAAAGCAAGAAGAGTATCAGAGAAAGTCACACAACAAGGGAGTATTTAAGAAAGCAAAACAATTAAAGTATTAACTTTTGACTTTGTCAACCTCTCTATCAATCCATGCAAATTAGGTTTTAATCACCAAATAAGCAAAAGTGACACAGCAGGTTCAAACTGAATTTTGATGTACCTGGCACTAGAAGAGCATTTCCTTTTGAATTCACCACTGTTTGCTACTGAGTGCTGTCACATCCATGTGGCTGCTCAAATTTTAGAATCCACAAATTTCTTCTTCTGAGTTAAAGAACCAAATGATAAGCCTGTATTGAACTTCAAACAGCTCAAAACATCCCATCAAACACATTTCAAGTTAGAGGCAGGAGCCTCTAGTTTAGCTGAATTGGGTATTGGTCACCTACAGATGAACTACTATTAAAACATCATCCTCAAAGAAGGAGTTACTTTTAGTATTCAACATAAATACTGCTATGGGAGCTGACAGAGGAATTATTCATCATTAAAACCCCTTCCTTCCAGTCAAGGCCTTTTCACAGATCTCAGGGAGTCTGGCAAAGGTACTGTTATGGCACATTAAGTCTGATCTGAGCTAACAATCTTTTCCCAATTGCCCAACACACTTTGGAAGGCCTCCCAAACTCCCTCCTCTAGTGAGCATCTGCTGCCAGTCAGCTCAGACCTAAATGAGTTCCAGCTTACAGGGTGGCTGTCTCCTTGGACAGCAGGAAACCCAGGACTTCCAGAGCTGGAAGCACGAGTCACAACCAGGCACGGCAGAGAGCCAGCAAACCACAGACCGCAGCCAGACCGCACTTGTCCTCTGTGGAATGCAGGCAGCAGGCTCCGGAGCAGAGATGCTGAGCGGGTACCACTCCAGCCACCCAGTACCTCTGCGCAAGCACAATTAACTTCCACTGCTCCTCCAGTCATACCGGTAAGCCTTGCTTTCTTCTCAAACTAAAAGCGCTTCTTTTTACATAGGAAGCAAACAAAAATATATGACTTTATCGAAAGGGGAAAAAAAAAAGGAAAAAAAAAGTTTCCTTTCGAGAAAAGCACTAAGATGAGGTGGGTGCCAGAGGGAAAAGCAGGGGAGAAGAGAATGTCATCAAATTTCCACCTAACACCAAAGACAGAGCCAGGCTGAAAGTTGTGAGAGCATGTAATAACCTAGGGAAAATACTCTGCTGAATAACCCCCTTTGTTTTCGCCAGACATATCATAACAGCTGCACTTTCAAGTCAGTGAAACTACCTGCTTCAATACAGATCTCAAAACATCTATTGCTGCTCAAGCACTTAAAAAAACCACACACAACCTCCTCCTCCTTTCTTCTTCTTACAAGCAAAGCTGTGTCACGTAACAAGATGCCCTCAGACATCAGTGCCTCTTTCCTGACTTGCCAGAACAAAACTTTTAGGCAACTACGCCTGTACTGTAAGCAGCTTTCTCCACTTTGCCCTTTGGGGGAAGCAGATGCTCTGAAGTTGGTGGGGAACTGGATTTTATGTCACCCTTTGCTGTGAACATCAGCCCCTCTGCTCATGACTGCCCATGAAAACAAAGCCTCCATCTCAGACAGTTGCTCATACTCCCAGTCAAAATTCAGACAGGTCAGGTTTCAGTAGTAGTTTAACAAAGGATGCCTCTTTAAAAAGAGATTTCAATCATGATAAGGAGCTAAACATTTTCTCTTTAGTATGACTCAGTAAGAACAGACATATCTAGTGGTCCTGACATTCCTGTCTTAAAATACCCGATGAGATGAAATCTTACCTCTCACTTAAAAAAATTCTATATAATGTATCTTACTCCCATTTTGAACAAAAATTTATATCTGCAAAGTTTTACTCTTCTTAGCAGAACAGGCACACTGCTTCACTTTTTCTTTGACTTGTTTATTTATAAAAAGAACAATGGTTCTGAATGGTAAGCTGCCTCCAGCAGAAACACCCCCAAATTACATCACTGCAAGAACAGTTAAGATGTCAATAATAAGGAAAAATAAGACAGCTGATGACTCCACAAATGAAAATATCTTTACCTAGGACAGTTGTCAGGACTGTGAGAAAGCACATACATTGCCAATGGACTCACGAAAAGATTACTTATCATTCTGCCCAACGTGCTGTACCCACTGACTGCAGAAAACCTGGCACTTGAAACACACTGCTGGTCTTAACTAGCAAAGGGGAGAAGCAGCCTGAAAACGTACTTGTCAGGATCGTGCGCCTCTTGCACTGCTCTTCTACACCTCCGTGCTTTTTTCCTGAGAGTGTGAAAGGTGTTTCAAACACAAAACGGTTGATATTGTGATGCATTTCAAAGTCGGTCTTTCGATCTTCGGCTTCTTTCTCTTCAAAGAAAGGAGTGACATATGTCACCTGGATATATGCATATTTTGGATCCAGGTCTTTGGGGTTGACCTGTGTAACAGTGGCAAACATAATAAAATTCTGTTAAGTGATATGAGCTTCCAAGGAATCCATTACATTTCTGATGCTTTTATCTATCATAGCAATACTGATTAAAACTGAGACTTCCAAATGTAATATTCAGAGCACAGATTAATACAAAGATATTTAACCAAGAGGCTGCTAAGAACAGTAGGACTTTTGAATATAGCCATTGGCAAAAGTGGATGAAAGCTAAATAAAAAGAGGGAAAAAAACCCTGCTTCCACGGTGCAGTAAACATCTGCCTGCTCTCTGCAAGCACATACTGGAATATGCGCTTTTCCCACTGACTGTGGTGCCCTGCTGTGACATTGTCATTTCCATAAAGCACCTGCCATGCTATAAGGTGAGGGTCTTTTTTTGGTTGTAAAACAGGGTCATAGAAGTTTACACATATACTCAGTTCACATTCCTTCAAAACACAGCTCTCAAAAACATGAACCGTGTGCTCAGTTCTCCCCTCCATGCAAAAAATGCAGTCTTTTGTACCTTGTTGGAGTCCTGGATGATCTTCACATTATCTATTCCAAACTTGTCTGCATAAAGTTTCATCAGCCTTTGAGAGATCTCAGACAAGCCAGTTAATTTGGGTTCTTTATAGATATACTCTTTACCTTCTTCTTCTTCAAAAAAACCCTGTTTGAAAAGAAATGGAAGGATATAGTAAACACAAGAGGCAAGCAAAGCCTCAACAAGGTGCTTACATCAGGAATCAAGGTTGCCTGCATACCCACCAGAGCATCCAGTATGCCATTTCCAGCACCTAAGTTAAAAGCTTCTCTCTCTCCACTCCTAGCAGACACGTATCTAGATGTCTGGGTTTATACTGGTCTGGTATCTCTGAAGTTACCCAGGAAATAACTCATATACACTTATTCATGTAAGAGACCTAGTTGTTTAAAGAGCTGAAGTGCTTTCTTGAGAATGCTGATGTGTGTATGATGAAAAAACTCTAATTAAAAACTGGACATTAAAAATTCTGTAGATTTTGATCATTTGGTTAAATTAAATATTTCGGAAGCACTATGCTAACAGAACACGAGTGTAATAGCTGTTTGCTGGGTGCCACTTCCAGCACATCCTATGTGGGAGCCACATGCTCAGGCAAAGGCTGGGCACTGCGCAGGGCACTCCTGCCCACAGCGATGTGCAGGGCCATGGCATGGGGAGCATCTCTGAACCCATCTGCATCTGTTCAGGGCAGCTGAAGAGGAACTCTGGTGGCATCTTGAAAGGCCACATGGAATTGCAGCATTTTCAGAGACTTACATTTGAAAAGGAAAAAAAAATAGACGAGACACAGACTTTGCAAAAAAGCTCAATCTTGTTAAGGTCATTTACTTATTACACTGGATGGACTTGGCAGAGCTTTAATAAAAGGCTCCACTGAAGAGCTGAACAAGAACCTGTCAGGCTTCAGAAGAAATGCCAACTTCAGAAAATTAACACAGCATTGCATCACATGCAGGTGAGACGCTCAACTGCTACATGATGAACATGTACATCGACACTCCTGGAGAAGCTCTTCCAGCTGAGCAGAAAGCAGCAGATGCCCCATTAACAAGGACTAGATTTATCCCAATGCCATGAGTAGCACCAGCCGTCCTCCTAGGATTTCATCTGCTGCTGCTGAAATCTGGCAGTGTCAACCACTGCAGCTGCACCCAAAGCCTCCTCCTTTCACCTTAACACAAAGTGAGCCACAGGAAAATACCTGAAGCTGCAGAGATAAAGGGGAAAGGCAGGCAGCATTAACAATGTCAGATCCAAGGCCCTTTAAACTTAACGTGATGTGGCTTGGACAGCTAATTCTACAATATACCTAGGCAAACTGCCATCTGTTGTAAAACAGAGAAGCACAAATGAATGAGGTCAAGAGATACCTCCAAAATCTCTTTGGAAGGTACTCATGCAAAATCCAGCCTTTTCATGTTGAAGCATATTTCAACTTTGTCCACTAAAATTATTGACTAGGCAAATCTTCACAAAAAAAGTATACAGAATTAAAATAAATTATCTGTAAATTTCAATGTTTGTTTAGGAGAAAGAGCCCTAAGATTTATTTCAACAGGGATTAACAAACACATGCATCTCTGGCTTCTCCTTCAGTGAGGACAAGGGGGAATAAATTTTTTTAATTCAGCAAGTGCCAAAAGCACTGTGGGCATTACTGGAAACCAATGACTGCTAGCAGCAACAGCAGCTTGTCTGATAGTACCTTAACCAGTCTCACAGTGACTTTCTAAGACTGCAAAAATTTTAATAATGTTATCAATTAAAATCCATAGGCATATGAAGAACTTCACAGGTAATTAGAGAACATATCTAGAGCTCAGAAGCCAACACCCTATAAACATCTATTGACCTGGGCAGGCAATTGACTTTCTATCGATTTCACTGAGAAAAGATCTGCAGGACCATAACCTGGTTTCTGATCTTGTTTCCACTGAAGCAAGACTGCTTTATGTGAGAAAACCTCATTAGTTTCATGCAACCATATACTTGAACATGCTACTCAGGGTTGCCTCTGTCAAAAACCATCTGTTTTCTGTTACTATTCAGTATTTTCAACAAAAAACCTCGTGTTTTCCAAATTAATCACAGGGCAAACTAGAATATAATTTATGCTCTTAAACACCAATTCTGTGTATGTTTGTATGCTGGAGCACAGTGTTTATAATATACTTGGCACAGGAAATGCCAAATCTCTGTGCTGATGCTGCATGGCACATAAAGTGGTATCTGTGTTAATGGTTTTGCTTAAAAAAAAAATCTGAAAACAAACAACTAACAGATATAGTCTTGTGTCTAACTGAAGAGACATCATTTAAGTACATATTCCCTACAGTATTTCAGCTGACAAGTGACAAGCAGAAGTTAATTGTGAACTATAAATAATCGTGTCTGCCATATGCTATATGTCTGGCTAAGACTATTCCAAGTAAGATTAAATACTTGTCAGGAGCCAAATATCCTCCAGTTTCAGGATTCTAAAATATTAAGCAGCCAAGGTTACATTATCAATGCATATCCCTAGATTATTTTCATACTGGATGGTTTTGTCCTGCAAGGACAATCCAGCCTTACAGATGAAAATTGTTACATGGAGCAGCTAAATGTAATGCAAGGGAGATGACCTCCCAGACAGTAGGTTATTTGTTTCCACTGAGCTCTGATGTGCTGAGAGTCAAGTTGTGACTTGGGATTGTCACTGTGGGAGCACTGAAAATGCCCTTCTTCCTCCCTGTATGCATTCAGACACAGCCCTTGGAGCTCATAGTAAATCAGACTCTTCTCTGCCTTTGCTGGAAGATTACACACTATCCCCACAGCTGATGTGCTGAGGTAAAGCCACCTGCTTTATCTACCAAGAATTAGCATCTAATGGGTCCATCCCTGCCTGTATCAAGCGAGCATCTCCTCCTATGGTAAGTGAGTGTACTGTACTCTTTGGTAAGGAAGCTTCAGCTGTTCTATCACGTTTGGAAAAGGGAAGACATCTCTGCTCTTCAGACATTAACCTGCAGTCAGCTTACCACTATGAAAATCTGCCCTCCAACTTCTACAGCTTCTTGCAAAGACAGGAGAACAAAACCTCAGCTCTACCTTTACCTAACACTGCTCCGAAAACAAGTCTTGAATGCCTTTGCTTATTGGTGCAATATGAGTTTTCAGCTAGGTCAACGTATCTAATAGCTCTTTTTTTGGTTTTAACTCAAGAAAGATATTAACTTCTCAAAACACTCATGTGTGAATAAAATCACAAGCACTGGCTAGTGTGGCCACTTGGTGGTGCAACGAGATGTTGTCACCAAAGGCCCTTAACTGAATCTGAATTCTAAAACAGCAGCTGCCATGAGATCCGGCTCTCTGAGCTGGCAAATAAAGCTCTCTGGTGAAAACAACGAACTACATCCTCCCTAAGGACTACATTCGTTCAAGCCATCCTTCCAGACGGTCCCTGCAGCAATGCAGTAACCAAATACTGTCTCCACCTTTGCATGAATAACGTTTTTCAGGTGCAGCTGCAGTTTTTCTTTTTCCACAAAGAATGCCCAAACTTCTCCCTGCAAACTGTATTTGCAGTATTCCTTTGTTCTTCAATCTGGTTTCTCTGCAGTTTTTGTTTCAGTTAACAGCAGCATTCCTTTTTTACAAAACACATATCTGTATATATTTATTATTGATACAAATGATAAAAACGTTTCATGAATAGATGCATAAGTGTAGTCATACACTTTTTTAGGTCTATGCTTACATATGTAGCTACCCATAGGTATCTTATAGAGCAGTGCATGTGTAAGACTGAAAAGGAATCCCCTACCTGCATACCGAGCATCCCACACCTGCGTACCAAGTCTCTTTCTGTGGCATTTCCTTTGTAGTGGCCTAAGCGGAGCGATTCATATTGCTTTAAACTGGTTTAATCATGTAACACTAGTAAAACCTGCAACCATTAGCTTTTGGAAGGAAGATTGCAAAGACTGCCTGAAGCACAAGAAAAGGGAATTGTCTTTTAATGTTTTAAATGAATTTAGCACTGAAACTGCTTTCATCAGCAGGGAGGCCTGCAATACTCTTGGCAACAGAAGGACCAAAAGGCCCCATACCCTTCCACTGGCACAGCCAAAATGGAAGCAAGTGGCACATGGGAAAAAGGGATACAGAAACACAGAAAGGAAACCTGCCAAAGAGGAAAAATAGGCAGGCACAACTAGTATGTGGGAACAGACTGTTCTCTCTGTCTGTCCTTCCAGGTCTAGCTTCATCCATAGCTCCCACATCTGCCACGGTGCTTTGTGTACTGGTAAGCCCTTCTTAATCAGTTCTGCACACCCACTCCTATTTTCCTTGGTAAATGAGGCACAAGTAATGCTGATGGGAATGATCTACCTTTAATTCTTTGCACTGTGCCATACACTTTTGTCACTATGCCTCTGCAAGGAGCAATACAGAGCAGTCCCACTTTCTACCACATAACATCTCTCCTGCAGAAGGAAAGGAAGAAGCTGTGCTTGTCTGCATTTAGAGCTCAGTGTCTGGAGGCACCAGGGAACAGACGGAGCAATACGCAGCTATGAAAAAGTCATACAATTTAGAGCACTAAAGCTGTTTAAATGAAGTTGCCCTTGTGGCACTGGCAGCTGAAAAGTCATTGCACTGTAACAGATTTTAACCCAGTTCAGCAGAACTGCTGCAGCTAAATTACCCACTCACAAGTAGCTGCCTTGGGGAGAGCCCATGGCAAGGAGTTGCAAGTAGGAGAGTCTTGTTTCCCTCTCCACTGCCCCCATTTTGAGGAAGGTCAGGCATAAGGAAAACTCTACCCTTCCTCAGGTAGAGCTTACTTTCTCCTTGCATTTGGCAAGTTCAGAACTGCTAACCTGTATGAAGAGCCAGGACTCGCCATTTCCCTCTGACTCCCAATTTGCTTGCTCCTACAAGGGACCACCAGGAACGTGGCCACACGCTCCCCACAGTGCTCCTGTTACTATGCCATAGATCACAGACTGACCCAACAGCCGCCCTCTATGGAGCTGCTGCACAGGCCAGGAATGCAGGCTTGCATTCAAACAGCATTAATGCTACACCAGGTTTTTAAACTGAGGAAGAAGGGGTCCAATCTCACTCTCAGTGAAGCTGAGACAAAAACTTCCACTGAGATGAGATGATGCAGCATTGGGCCCCACGGTGCACGCACGACATGGCGACATATATAGCTTGGTAATTCAGGTAGCTGAACAAACAAAATTAGTTTCAGGATGCAATAATGAATGAAACAGTGTTATTTCATTTGCCATGAACCAAAGAATTGAGAGCACAGGAAAGTTAATGTTAAGTAACAGTACAGGGAAGGATGGAGGACATGTGAGGAGAATTAAACAAAACATGCAAAAGAACTAGACTTACCACAGCCTTGAATAAGATCAAAAGAAGAAAAGAGCAAATTTTGCATTAAAATCTAATTAGCAAACAGAATGATTCACATCAATCTGTTGTTTACACGCCTTATTATTTTAGAGTAAAGGAAATTGTATGCTTGTCAAAACCAAGTCTTACAGGAACATGCTGGATTGCTACACTGGTTTGTAGTGGAAGAAAGCACAAAATAATGCTTTGAGGATGCTGAAGCACAGCAGAGGGAATAAAACTACTCTACAATATATTGCACAGAATCAGAGGTGGCCTGAAAGCAGAAGTCAGAGTCAGCGAGAAACACAACAAAACATCTACTGCATACTGCTCTGTTTTTAAGCTCTATTAGGAGAGCGCCATATATCAAAGATGCCTTATCTGATTTTATTTATGTTTTACTCTGAAAAAACCTGCCCTGCTTCAGTTTTGCTTGATGAAGTCAAGACCTAAAGCTGACATACAAGTGTGATCTCCATTACACCACTAAATCCATAGCAGCAGTTTACACAGGTGCAACTGAGTGCTCTTTCTTCTAAGTAAAATCCTGCTTGGAGTCTGACCCAAGAGGAATTTTCTACCCCATGATTCACTGCCAAGTGTTTCCCTGTTTCAGCTTCCCCAAAATACATCACAGTGAGAAGAACATGGCTGAAATCTGGAAATCTGTGGAGACAAAAGAACACAAGTTGACTTACCTGCCCATAAAATGCCACACGGTAATATCGCCCAAAGAGACGTTTCTCAGAGTTCACTACTTCTGCAACCTTCAGGTATGAGCGGTGGATGTCGTAGTACAAATCAGACAGCCTCTACATTAAGAAACAGTGAGAGGGAGGGGAAGTGAGAGCATGCAAGTACTTTGGGAAATGCCACTACAGCTCTACACAAGCATGGCTTGGCTTAACTGGATTTCCAAACCTTTGCAAAGATGGATGTACATGCTAAGGGAACAATTTAACCATGTTCGCCTTCACTAAAGATTCATTTCAAGGTTTCTGTCATCTGAGCAGTTTTGTGGCAGTGGGTGCCTTTGTGTACAAGGTCACACAGGAAGACAAGCATCCCACCACCAGACAATGGAAGGGACCTACTAAGAGCTCAGCGAACCCAAGTCTCCCACATGAAAGCAAGAGCAAGGTGCCAACAACTCCAACCACCTCCCAACCCCATGCAAATATATGGTATCCACAATTACCACTAAAAAGCACTTTCTTGGGATAGTGAACCAAAATTTCAACAAAGTTAAAATCTAAGGACCTGCTTCCTCAGCATACGGCTTATTGCTACCCACCTTTTTACTTTTATTTACTTGTTTGGTTGGGGTTTTTTTTGCTTTTGTTTAAAACCAGAAAAATCAGTAAATGAGATTATCATCTGGTTATCCACTACGTGTTGGAATTGCCAAGTAAATAAGAAATGAAGAAACCCTGGCATTGTGAAGAGATCACAGAATTTATCAGCAGTTTCTAAACGTAAATACAATGCAAATATGCTCTTGGTTTAAGAACACATGGAAAAATTCACGTCCACTGGCTAACACAAGAGATAAGTTTGAAAATTTTTTGTTCATTTACTGTTGCATTGATGCTGAAAAGAGGAAGGTAAGATACCAATCTTTTATTTACTAACAGAACAAAGCATTAAAAGGAGAAATTACAGACAGGAATTAAAAAACATATCTTTAAAGAAAGCACTTCTTTTTCCCCCTAAATATTTTGATCTTTATCGTTGTCCTAAGATAGTTAACACCCCTCCCCCCCCAACTTACTTTAAAGTCCCTCTGCTTCTCAAAAACAGCAATGATAGGCTTGTTAACCTCAGCAATAAGCTCATATCTCTCAGACTTCCACAGATATTCAACACACAACTCCAGCTGCTCCACAAGAATATTCTGCAATTTCACAAAAACAAATAGTTCAGTAACTTGACAGCTAGTGGCATTTAGTTAATGGCAACGCAGCAAAATCACATACCCACTATTTCATTTTTATTCTCTTTCTCATTTCTCCTATATGAAGGTTTGTTTCAATGACCATGTTTAACCAGGTATTGGTGACCTAGCTTTTCTTTAGATAAAAACTTGAAATAACAGTAACATGAAAATACCTGAATACTTGACATATCATTGAGAAGAATGAGTTTGCTTCATGGGCTCCCCCTTGGCCTAACTTCCAGCTCTGGTACTTAATGTTCTGGTTAAACACCTATTCCCGATATTTAGTACAACAGCTGACATTTCACTCAAAAGCCATGTGCCTTTTAATACTGTGTGAAGTACACTCCCACTATAATTTGTTGTAACATGCACGGGCATCCATTAGAAATAACTCTCTGTGTTAATATAGAACAAGTATATAAATGTTAATGCTGCTGACCTCATTATAGGGAGTATCTTGCATCCCAGAGTCTTCCTTCATAGCACCTTCTTCTTTAATGTTGGGAGTAATGCTCAGAAAAGCAGGCCATCCCATGGAAAATAAGCCTTGAAGTACAAGTCATAACAATGTCAATTAATGACTGAATAACCAGATAATTCAAAAATATATTGGGTGCTGTTAAATCAGAGCTGATTTTATCTGACTGGATTAGTGACATTTTTCACAGCCCGTGATGAGAAGCACAAATGGAACTGACTAAATTTATGAGTTTATTATGCCTTTTCCCTATGACATAAATCCACTCGTCCAGGCAAAGGTTAACTATAACATTTTCCTGATGCAATCTTATTCTTCGCTTTGGCATTTCGGTTCCTTAGCTGCGCAGCACCAGCAGTCCTTACAAAACCATATGTGCACCACTCATCTATGCAGGAATCACTGTCATAGGCTGAGGCGAGACAATTTATACTTGTGAAACCAGTGCTGTGACTCCCAGCCTGACCTACAGGCACTTAACGCTACATGCTGGGGCCTGCACTTGTCCCACCCGCCAGGTTTCCCAAGTGAGAGGGGCATGTTCGCCCCAGGCTTGCTGCAGCTGATGGGGAGACGGCTGCTCCAGAGCACATCATGTCTTTGCTGGGCTTGAGGACACCCTGGCAGTAGCTCTCCTTTTCCTGCCCAGGGTCAGCAGAGTGACTGCAGCCCTAACCCAGGAACTGTCTTGTAGAAAGCTCAGGTTGGTGGCAGAAGCTGCCAATGGGAAGGCTCACACGGATTGAAACCAAGCTTACATCTAGTATTTGCTAAGCCGGGGCCTTAGTGCAATGGTTGCAGAAGGAACAACTTACAGAGGCATTGCACATTACAGATCACACAGATTTTACTAGCACTCTTGACCAGAGAAGGTAAACCTGCCAGTGGAGGTGATGAACTCCTGACACAGTTTGTGTTCAGTTTAAAAGTAGGAAAATGCTACTAAGGCACAATTGAAAAGTTCCATCCCCTCTGTCAAATTTTGAAAACCATTTAAACATAGGTTTAAAATGACCCACAAGTTCTTCACTCTACCTACTGCTATCTGTTGTTTATTCAAGCAAAGTATTTTACCACTAGTGAGCCATCTCTGAAATACTGCTCTTCACAGAAAGCTTCTTTCTAAAAGGAAATCTTTATCTATACTAAGTTCATATGGGTAACCAGATATTAACTCTGCCCCGCTGCCCTACCAGCTTTGGATATTCTAGGAACTGGACATGGATTTGCACACTAAACACCAATTGACCTAAGAGGGCTTTCTGTTGCCGATGAAGAGCAGACTGCTCTCGTGCTGAAAAAGCCCTTAACCAGAGGCATTCTGAGCAATTCATCAAACCAGCCAAAGAGCACCAGGAAAGTAACATACAATGTTTCCAACATTACTTGCTTGCTATTACAGCCATCGACATGCACTACAAATGTTTTTGCTTTGGTAGATATTTTTCCAGATCAGTTGGAGAACAGTAATTTGATTCCCTAATTATGTTATTTGACTCATAAACAGGCACGGTTAGAGCACTCACTTCCTCCATTGTAAGTTGTTAGTAACACATTACTATCAGAGACTTGACCATCTTCCAGGAGCATACGTGAGGTACAAATCCTTTCCATTTTCCAGTAACCTACGATAGTGTAAGATGGTATTAGTATACTGCTATTGGTATGTGTTAATACATGCATATTTAATAATGACAGACTAACAAGTAAAGCATTCTCTTTTAGCACTAGCTTACTAAACATTTAATTAACCCACTTTACACAAAACACACATGTTCACTGTTCCAGCGCTAAGACTAGCATTTACAATATATTTTAAAAATAAAATATTTGTGAAGAATTCAAGCAGCCTTAAGAAAACTTTATATATAAGAAAGGAAAGCAAGACAGCCAAAAACTATTTTCAACAATAATGTTTCTAGATACATAGTGGGTTTTAATATGTTGATCTTACCCTTTCTTTTCAGGTACTCTGCAATGAGAGCGGCAATATGAATATAGCACATAGCAGCCTGCAACAAGAGACCAAGATACATGTATACGTTAAAGTACAGCATACATGTGATAAGGAGCACGTACTTTCATAACTGTCAAGTCATGCTGCAGAAAAGGAAGACAAAATTAATATAACAATTTAAGAAAATAAAGGATTACATGATGAAATAATTCTCGAGTGTTAATTTCCCTAGGTGTCATGGGTAAAAGCATAGATTTGCCCAAGAAAACCATTAAAATTACTAAGTAAATATGATATCCTGGGTTATGCACTGGAGTTTTGCATCACCCATTTAGTTTTTGATGACAAAGGCAACACATTATAAATGAAGCTCCTCTTCCATGCTGTAATTGGGGAGAAGAAAATCCTTTATGTAAGCTATGCGTTGCTCATAACCTCATCTACACTACAGCTACTGTGCCTGTTAGGGTTAAGCAGCAGAGACGCTAATGTGATACTGACCACAGCTTCCCGTCAGACATTTTCATGTCTTGCTCAAGCACATATCAGGTAGTCACAGTTAGGCAAGCTGGTATAATGAGCACATTGCATCTCTAGGTGTTTTTCAAATCAGTCTTCCTCTAATTTCAAGTATATGAGAGACACAGTACAATTCTCTTAAATCACTACTGATGTCTATCTTTCAGAGCCCTTTTCATCAGAACATCTCAGCCTAAACACAAATGGATTTCCTATTCATTTATTTACATTACCTCCGATAAATCTCCATTTCTTGCGTGAATCTTGGCCATGCTTTCAAGCCATGTCCTGCGTAATTCAGGTGTGCTGGCATATGAATTTGCTAGGCTGTACTGCAGGTCCACAAGCATCTCAGGGTCTTTCTCATGCTCCTTCATCTGCGCTGTGGCCATCAAAACCGTCCTGATGCGTTTGGTTAGATCCTTCACCTCTGCTGGGAAATTCACGTTCTTTGGGAAAGATAAGCAGTACATCACTAAAAACATCCAAAGAGCCACCATGCAGCACCCCTGAATGAGCTAAAGTCCTGCTTATGGAATACCTTCTGCCCCTTCCCTAATTCTGTAGGCTTTGAAGCAGAGTCACACTTCCACAGTACATACACATTGTACACAAATCCTTGACCTTTTTTACTGATGTGTCATAGCATCTACTAGATATCCCAGTCAGTCAGCTGTACCACTGTCTGTACACAACAACTCTGCTGAAGTAGAGCAAACTGAAACATTTGTTCCTTGATTGCTTACTGGAGCCAGAACTGGATCCTCACACATTTTCAGCTGACAAATAGCACTGTTTGCTATAGTAAGTCCTGCTTAACTACACTCACAGCATGTTTCACTGCAGTGAATAAAGCACAGCGGTCTGGCTCCTGGCCTTCTCACATTGTGCAAGATTAAAACAGAGTCCTTGTATTACTCATATCAGCTGTTCTCAACGTATTTAACTCAGGTCTGCAGTTTCTCTTTTTCAGATGGGCAATGAAACACATTTCTATTTTCAGACTCCCCCCTGCCCCCTTCCTTTTGTTTAAAAGTAGAAACATCCAGAAAAATTAAATGAAATTAAATGCTGTCTCCTCTATGTCACACAGAGATGCGCATGCCACAGAAGCAGTGTGACTGACTGCAGTGCTGGAAAATGAAAGCTTGAAACAAATTGTTGAAAATTTGAAAAAGAAATACAATTGTAACTGCATCTTATTAAATAAGACATCAAATTACTTATGCTAATTATCTACCAATTTGCTTACACTAACTTTATTATTAATCTCAGTGAAGATTCCCTAAAGTCACCTTCAGAGAAGGAAAAACACCTCCAAAGTATAAAAGTCAAAATGCATGTTGACAAATGTTTGGATAGGAATTGTAAAAATTAAAAACTGGAACCTTTTTACAACATCTTTAGTACAGACCACGAATATAATAGCAGGGGTAACCAATCTAAGAGCCTTTTTCAGGGGGTTAGCAAGCTGTTACAAAACCTAAATGTTGTGTATGTTATTCCTACACATTTACTGAACAGACTAAAGAGATAGTTTGTAAACTAAAAATTGTTTGTCAACTGCAATTGTGTTTCATTAGTCATAATCTGTGCTATCTTCTCTGACATCGGTCAAACGAACAAAATGAGCAGTGAACAACAAATAAAACAATTTTCAAATAAAAATCTATCTTTTTATTGTTTAAAAATTATTTTTCATTATTAAGCTTTTGAGTCATAAAATTTTTCATGAATTTCAGGCTGTCTGGAAAAGGCACAGTATGAATGCATAAATCACTGTCTAATAAAAGCCAGCAATTTTATTCACTGTAACACTTGCTCCTCTGAAATTTATGACCTTTTGCAAGGGGTAGTGATTGACAAAATATGTTTCTTACTTTCATCTGCTTGTCTCCATTAGCAAAATTGTTTATAATTGCAAGTGAATGTTGAAAACGAGATCCGCCAATCCCTGCATCCGCTATCAGCTGGCTCACTGCTTTGATGAGCTGTAATGGGGGAGCAAACACACGATGCAATTAGCACAGAAAAACAGTTTCTGAATAGTTTTTAATCCCTGTTTTAGTATGACTTGATGCAGCAGGCTAGCAGAGATACACTTTTATACTTACCTTAAGAAGATAAGATATACAAACACAAGGACTATGAGTAAACTTTCCAAAGTTTGTAATAGCTCACATTTTGTGGCATAAGCACGTTGTTACTTCCTATCTGTTACTGTACTATCACATTCTGCTTAGTTCCTTCATCAGCTATGTTCTCACTGCTAAGCAATGCACGTGAATCAAGAATAGCCATTTATCTGGCTATTTATTGGCTACACAGCTACATTCACAGCTGTTGTCTCTCCCTGGAATAGAGCCAAGCAGCCCAAGAACAGAAGAGAATCCAGCCCAATGTCCTCAGACTTGGCAGGAAAATCAAGCTGCCACAGAGAACTGCCTGTCCAAGGTCTCCAAAAGAACTGCTTTGCTACAATGCATAAAAGTAATGATGATAAAAACAATCCACATCAGCTAAATACTAATGATCTCACACTTCACTTACCTGTAGATGGGATCTCACTATTGATTTCTGCTTGTTAAATTCAAAGTTCTTTCTCATGAAAAAATAAAGAAGAGCAGATGCTTCTGTCTGAGTTGAACGTGACCTGTGGTTGCAACACTTCAGGATTTCATAGCAGAGTGAACCGCAGAGATCTGCTTGTCCTTGGAAGAATGCTGATGGGAACTATTGAAAAAAATGCGTGAATATGTTTAGCACTACTTTCAGGCCTTGGAACAGTTATTCTGAGTCAATACTTTTTCCTGTTAATCTTTCAGTAAAAACAACTCAGTCCCCCATATTCATTCATACCAGGGTTTATAAAAAAACAAGCCACCAGCAAAACATAATCCCACGTGCAAACTAAGATTAAGTAAAAACTGCACACAGGTTTTTATACAAACACCATATGCAACGCAACAAACTGGCCTCCAGGAAGTCCAGACAGCAGCTGGCACTCAGCAAGCGTAAAAGCAGAGCAGCCTATCTGCAAGGAATGCAGAATAGCTAACCAGGACAAGCCTGTGGGGGGTTCTGTACTACTACAAAAGCTGTTCAGGAGAAAGAAAATACTTTGAGTAGCAAAGTCAGTGAACTTCCAGTGGTCAAGGATTTGCACAGAAGGAGACAACTGAAAGTGAAGGATGGCTCTCCAAACCATACCTGCTATTTATCAGCAGGGTGAATATAACAGCAGACAGACAGAGGAGAGGTGGAAGACATACATATTGGCTACAGACCTCAAGTACCACATGAGAGGTTCTGCTGCAGGAACCATGACTGATCCCTGTTCCCACAGAACTACGAAGAGAGAACTCAATCCTGAGAACTACAGCATGAATGAAAAGGGCAATCCTGGATGCTTATTCATCCTCCCCATTGCACAGAGGAGTTCTGCTCCTGACTGTCTGGTATGTAATTTAAAGTTGTCTGTGGATGGTTTACTTTATACTTCCTCCAGGTCCTCAAGCTATGTTACTGGGAGAAGCATGATTTCCTCCTCCTGTCCCCTGAGATACCAACCAGAAGGAGGCCACGTGGTTTCAACTGATCTATACCGTCTCATTTCATAGAAACATCTGGGAGAGCAGGCCAGTCTTGCTTATTCTCACTTCTCCATAGCAATTGTTACCTATGTGCCATTTCTACATTCTGGTTAGTTTTAAGAGGATCTTGTCTGTGACTTCGAAATTGTGCAGCTTTTGCAGCTGACACAGAGTGTCTAATTGCTCATGATCATTTACATATGTGCAGTGCAAGCAAATAAACAGTTTGACACATAAACATGGTTTTGTCCGAAAACTTTTCTATGTTGAAAACAGGGTATTTGTAAAACTGAATTAGTTTGGATGACCTTTTGGTGAAGTGTATGGAATTCTCTTCTGCTAGGTCCTCTGGAGACAGCTGTAATAATTCACCACTGGATTCTGCAATCCAGGTATCTGCCATGAAGCCCATGGATCTCTAGGGTTTTAAGCTTTCTTCCATGGGTAGCAAAAGTGTGAAAGCCAACAACATAGCCAGATACCACAGACCTGGACATTACTTACCTATTTACTTTACAAGTTTCACTTTCTTAGTGAATTCTTCATTTTCCAAAACTGAACTAGTTTTTCAGATATTGTGAACTTCTCGCTTTTAATCAGCAATAAATCAGAAGATCTTTCTCAGGAATGGGTATTAATACAGTGAAGTTCAGAAACCTTTCAAAGTACCCAACTGTCCTCAAGCTGTACTTGCTGTAACATGGTAATAAGTCAGTCTAATGGAATAAAATCATAGCTACCTTGCCTACAAACAGCCGTAGGGCAGCAAAGACATGCTTGAGAGCTTCTGCTGACTGGTTGATTTGCAAAAAGAGCATGTGTGTGTCAAAGACTTTCTTCATCAATGCATTCTGGCAATCAGATTGCTGGAGCAGCCTCTGAAAAGTTCACGGACAAGACAAGACATTCTGGTTATTAAAAGTGAATAAACAGAAGCAGGATCTGCTGCACTTTACATGGGCGTGTTCCTAGGGAGATGCTTTTTTCAATATAAAACCTCTGTGGATGAGGCATTCCCAGCTTGTTGCAGACTCTTTTTACTTGCATTTTTTCAAGGACAGCACCTTCCTATGCCTATTTGTGAATGGTATGACTAGATATAAGGGCTAGGGTAGCAGAAAGGAGACAATAAATCTAAAAGGAGCTGCCTGCTGTATTAGAGCTTTGAGACCCCCATTGGCACCAGTTCAAGCAGAAGATGAAACAGCAAAACATACCTGGTGATTCAGAGTGTAAAGACACAACAGGTCAAGGATTGTGAGGGAAACTTCTGTAGCAATGTTTGCCTCTGTGTCTACATACTGTACGATGTCTGTTTCGTTGGAGCTGCCTGCAACATATAAAAAAAAAAGCAAAATGACGAACAATCTTCTGAATGTAATTATGCAACCTGATGTAATTCTGCAAGCTGGCCATTAAGTCTCAGCACAGTAGAGATTGGCTGCTAACTGTACTGTTTAACTGAAGGGGTATTTTGAAGAAAACTGCTCATAGGAGATGAAAAGGGAGGGAATTAGAGTCAGTTTTTACCAGCGACACCAGTGAAGTGAGTATAGTCTTTCATTGTTTCTGTTTATCCTCAAAGGAGGAGAGAAACCTAATTGGAAAGTGGGACAGATGACTTTGAACTCATCATTTAAAGAACGTTCTGTCATGAAAAGATCACGTCTATTGCTAGATCTAATAAATCTCATATTTCAGCCAGTGTATATCTGCTTGTACAGCAAGGTACATAACCATAGATGCAAGAGATGCTGGGAAGAGGGGGAATAACTTGTCATTAAGGCTATTTAAATATGTCAGGTTATTGTAACTGATTTTGTTTCTAAATGAACTTTGACCAAACCACAAATTTAAGCTCAGATTTCTTAGTCTCCTGAAAAAAAGGCAGAGTCAGCATCTCTATTTATGTTTAGGCTCTGCTCTTCAGGCTTTCTTTCAATGGCACTCATGAAACCAGATTTCATTGCATAGAGACTAATCTAAACCCCATAGAATTCCAGAGGGAAGTAAATAATTTTTTTGTACTTACTTGCAGTGCTGCTGTCTATCATCTGTAAGAGTTTGGGGTTAGAAAGTGCATTTTTGCCACGGATTATTGGTAATGTTTGAGATCTGTGATGCTTGTGACCATCGTGACTAGAAGTAGAATGCATCCTGAAATTGAAGGGTACCATTAAAAAAACAGAAACAAAGAATAAACTATCATGCCTATAAAGAATTTTTCCATATCAGAATTTTCTGCAGTACTTCTCAAAGGCTAAGTTAAACAAACTGGTGCAAAATTTTTCAGAGTAACAAAGATGAAGAAGAAAGTCAGTGAAGTGGGCAGAACAAACAGATGTGCTGTGATTTCTTGAGATCAGAGGAGACAAAACACTCATTGAGCACTGAAAAAAGCATCAGCTTAAATAGCCGGCTGATGTTTAGAAAACTGCCTTTGCGTGAAGGGAAACTGAGATGAGTCCTTTTGACTCAGAATACAAGAAAAATATATCCTGCTCATGAAAGAACTGGTGCAGATTTCTATGAGGGGCAAAAAAAAATGACAACTGACAATGACAACAAAAATGCGTATGTGTGCATTCTTTTAACCCTCTTTGATGCTGACAAACACATCATTAATTTATAATGAGAAGCTTAGATATAAAATACCAAGGCTTATCACTATTTTTGAAAGGATTTTGGATTTGTAACAACTATAGAATTCAACAATATTTAACATCTCTCAAAATTCAGGTCACTTATTGAAATATACCTTTATTTAATCTTTAAAAAAAGTAGCTTCCTAAATTTGCATAAATTACAAATATGCTAGGACAGAATTACTTCCTGAACCTAGCTAAACCCTCTTTTGTGTGGTAATTTTCACAAAAACAATTCAGTAAAGTAACATTTCAGATTTAAAAAATTAAACAGTTCCTAACATAGGTGGCCAGACTTTTCCCAATCAATGTGATAAAGTTTTCCATTAATGGTCACAGTGGAAGGATTTGGGTGGACATTCTGGAAAATGAACGGGTTTGGAACATGTGGAAATTCGATCTCAAGGGTCTTTTTTGGTTGGTTGCTTTGGGTTTTCTTTTGAGGGGGTGGGGTGGGGTGGAAAGTCTGGTTTCATATGAATGTTTCAGCAAACTGAAACACATAAATGTAAGTGCAAGTTAGAGCTGGTCACAAGCAACGCTTCAACTCTCATCATCAAAAACTGCTCTGTCTTACAACAGGTCAAACAGCCATTTGGACAACAAATGCTGATCTGTGAGGGGGTAAAGTGTGAAGGCCCTGGAGACAGCAGAAATGTAACTTTATTTCTGATTGCCACCATGTTGGTTCACCTGCAAGCACGTAACAAAACAGGCTCCTAAAGGCTGCTGCTTGCCAGTTCCAGCTGGGTAATGAAATCAGTGCTGCTTCTTGAAAACTGAACAGTACAGGAAGAAAGAAAGAAGTATGGCAGAGAAACCATCTTTTTCCTGCTTTGTTCAATCCCAGGATAGACGCTTATAACGGTGAGCATATTCTAGCTATAAGTAAATGAGAAAAGTCAATGATCCAAGATCATGAGGAAAGGGGACTTTCTCAACATGCTCTTAGATACAACCACAAGCTGCACAGAGTCAAAAGTTTGCTTTCTCTTTAGAATTTTACATTATTAACATGAAAAGGATCCTACTTGCCCCTAAAAGGATCAAAAATATTATTGAAGATGTGCTGCACCTGTCGCTTATTACCATGCAGTCCATGAAAATGATTAAATCTGGCAATGTTTAGACTAGCAAGATAGAGGAAAAAAAAGACTAGGAAAGATAGATTCTCTAACTAGAAACATGCACATACCAGTATAGGAGTATGCTACACTTAGCAGCATGGAAGTAAAAAGAAGGGTGTCAAGCAAACCTGCTCTTAAGTTTGACTTTGTGTTGCTAGATACTTCCCACTCCACAACCCCACGTTATTGGGGAGAAACAAATCCCCTGATACTGTAAGCACATCCATAGGTATCTACCCGTAAAGCAATAAGATAACATGAAAGCATAAGGCTGCAGACCTATGAATTCCTTCAGGTTGGGGAAAACTGTGGATTATCTTTCAGATAGGGATCTTAGCTGGAAACAACAGCTGCTGTTTCTGCAACACTTACAATATTGACAGTAACTAAGGATTCTTCTGAACATAACATTTTAAACAATAGTTGAAGGGACTCAATTCTTCTATGGTTTACAGCTTTGGGGGCTTTGAAATGTTGTGTTACATGCTGTGTAAACCTCTTTTCAGTCAACACTGTGACAGTGGACTGACTGGAGGATGACAACAAAGGCTGTAGTTTTATAGGAATTAATAATACAATGTTTCATTACCATTGCGAGAGCAGACCCGATGCCTGGCCAGAGGAGTTTGATCCTTTAAGGGTTCCATTATTCTGGGTGGCCTGAACAAACTTGAAAGCAGCAGCAATTTTCCTGTTAAGAGAAAATAACTCTTAAGCTGTTATGGAATGCGACATCGATTTTGCCGTGCCTCTGAAAAATATATACAGGCCTGACAAAACCTGCCGTGGAGCATGAACTGGTTCATCTGGTGACCTTCTGTTTTTCCAAAGTATGATATATAGACAAGTTCATAGTGGTAACATTAAATTAAAAATGAAACATCAACTGAGATAAAGTATGCATTTCACATTTCACAGCTGGAACACAATCTCATGCTTTTTCAGAGACTGGGTAGAGGTAAAAGATTTTTTTTCATTGCTGTTGAACATTTATTTATGCCCATTAAAACTCTTCTTTCCATTACATGGATGGAAAATACAGTGCTCAAGTTCCTATACTTGCCATATGCACAGAAATATGGTTGAGAATGGCCCAGTATTTTGAGTTATAAATGCAATAATGGTTATTACATCATCACATGCAATTCATCTTTTATACCGTGTATGTACTCAGATGTCCAGAACATCACAATAAAATTGTTTGCATAAAAGAAAAAATGAAGCATACATTGGCTTTCAGGAGAAAACTGATAGATACACTGTTAACCTCATTTAAGACTAATGTAATGTAATATTTAAATACTGTAATGTATAGTCTATAACTAGAGAATTACCTTACAATATTGCGTTTTCCTAGATATCTGAAATTTTGTAGGCAAACCCTGAAAGATAAACCAACACATTTTATGTCAATTAACAGTTTCCAAAGTATGAAAAAAAGCTGAATCGTAGTGTCTTCAAGAGACCTGTGGCACATGCACCTCCTAGTAAGCAAACAGAATAGAACTGCAGCAGTTCCCAGCCTAGGGCTGCACAAGATGTGGCACCACTTTCCACTCCCTTGTTCCCTTTTTCCATGGTTGAAGAGTCCTGCTTGATGAAAAGACGAAGGCAAAGACTTGGCTGCAAAAGTATTGCTTCTTCACCAGATTAAGTTAAATAACTTGCATTTCACTTATGAGATGGTCAGGATATTCGGAAAGCAGCCACCTGCATGGATTCTGCAGACATGCATAGCCTGGATTGAGCAAACTGTCTTGGAGAAGTGAAAAGCAGGTAATCCTACATTACATGGCTTTTCTTATGGTTTGGAAGTTTTGGGAAGCTAAATACTTTTCTCAAAGGAAGAATAGAATCTCAATCCTAAATGGAGAAACTATTATAAAAATCTCTTTTAGGATGAGCACCCAAAGCACTATGCTCCCTGTGTTCAGGGAAATGACCAATATACTGGAGGATATGGATTTCATTAGTAATGCCTCATTACAACTTCAGAAGATTATAGTGGGCATGTTGGTGTTAAGTCAACAGTTGGACTTGCTGATATCAGAGGTCTAGTTCAACCTAATGATTCTATGATTATGGCAAAATAATCTAAGATACAAGAACTCTCAGCCTATTCCACTAGGTGGACAAACCCAAAGTGAAATTATTTGCAGCAGTCACTTTAGAACATCATCATTTAACATAAAATCAACCAACCACAAAGTGAACTTACTCTAAAATGCTGAAGAAGTCTGTTATTTCTGAGAATGGTGCTCGCAACCAGTACGAAATCAGTGCGTCTAAAGAGAGATATTAAAATATATTATGTATCTGTTACAGAGAATTAAACTTGACCCAAAACCTCTAATATACACTGATAATTATTATAATGTAATATTTGTTTGGATTCAGCATTCACAATATTTTACAACAACGTAAATTAGGTAGCGAGTGCACATTCTCTTACCTTCCGAAATTGTTTTCATAATGTGAAGGAAACACATAAGAAGGCTTCTAGTTTCAGCTTGATCCAACTTGTCGAAACGAAGCGTTGATCCAATCAAAGACAAAGGTCTCATGATCTGTTGAATTGACAGCAAAGGGCCTTGTTAACCATAGTGACGGGTTTCCACCTCTAGTAACAGTTTTCAACATTTGCACATGTACCTTTTCACACGTGTCAGTTCTCTCACTGTTTTTTTCAGTGGTACTTGGGTTAGATTCAAGACTTGCTAAGGAAGCTCTGGAGTCAGCATGGTTTGCTGCAGAGATAGCTATTGATGAAAAGGCTGTAAATGAAAGTCATAGCAAACATGCTAAACTAAAACATCTATGGATACAAAAACTAACAAGAAAAATGGAAAACTTAAAATGTGTCACATGCTGGATTGACAGCACTGCTTTCAACTTCCAATAGCAAAGCTATTGATGGGCATGTTTAGTGTTGAAAACAGGCAACAAGTTGAAGTAAAATGATTCTGTTTGCCGTTATTCATGGCATTAAAATGGCCTGTTGCATTCCGTAAGGCCTGACCTAAAGCCATAAAAAACAGTGGAAAGATGCCCGTACACTTTCCTGAGTTTTGAAATGGGGATTGGAGGAATTGAACAAAGTAAGTTGTGTTTCTACCCTTCCGTTAACCCTGGAAAAACTAAGAATACTTGCCTCCAATAGACTTCAGGAGTTTTCAGGAGAAACCTTGGAACTATTCTTAAGTCAGGCAGAGACTACAAGAATGAACTCAGGCACAGGGATTTGTGAGAGCCTGAATACTGGCATCGTTCCAAAGCAGGACAGTAAGTGAAGCAGTGGAAGAAAAGCAGCTTCACCAGAGTAATAAAAATCAATCCAAAAAGACCCAAAGGGAAGAGAAACATTGCATGCCATGTTTCCCTGAATATCATATAAAGTTAGTTAATGATATATTCCATGAATACTAAGCAGAAAGCACGATGGATTAAGACACACAAATCTACCTGTGTGCATGTTCAATCTGCCATTTATACCTGCTATAGAGTTCAGAACATCTTTGGAAAAGGACGTATCCACAGAGTTTGCATGTTTCATTGCTGTCTGGCTCTGAAACCCTCCGGCTGTGCTTAAGTCATCCCTAGATCCCTGTATTTTAAAGGAAACAGAATAAACACCAGTAAATTATATCACTCATAATTTTCATAACGACAGCACACCTGATAGGCTCTTCTTAGACACTGAGCTTGAAAACCTACTTTCAGTTGTTTAGACATGACAGCCTTAAAAGATCAAGGCTTGCCATAATACATCCAATAGTTACCTGCAATATGAAACCCTCTCATAATTGAAGTTGTAAAGGACAGATCAAGTCTGTATTTGCTTCTTCAACACTAGCACAGCATTGGGAAAGGAGAATTAACTGTTGTTAGCAATGATCAGATGAATCAGGGTAGTTTGCTGGAAGGACTGAAAGACACAACACCCCTGCAGAAATCTGTTTCTAGTTCTTGAAGCAGGGCTATGATTATAACACATCCAATCTTTTAGGAAATAAACAAATGTGCTCCTCCACATGTTTATACAGACATTTTCTGTGGTGGTAAAGCTGTTTTATGAAGTTTCGGCAGCCCCGTCCATCCTTCAGCTACTTGTACACATTCCCTCTGCCTCCTGGTATAGTCCATGGTCCCTCTGTTGTACCAGTGAAGCTGCTTGTGGGTTCATGATGTAACCCTGCAAAGAATCTGTGGGCGATGGGAGGTTTTCTTTACAACATCTCCCAGCCATCTGCCAAGGGACCTGCCTGAGGACAGGGTTCTCCGTCCCCAGCCTGCGGCACCAGGGCAGACATACTGGGAGACTGGCTGGGGCTACAAACCTCTAACTGAGTTTCCAGCCCTTGGACAGTCAGTGTCCTGGGTCTGTTCCAGACTGACAGTCTGCACCCTGCCAGTATAGACTCCTGGGGCCTGCAGGTGCTCTGCAAATTGAGACCTTCCAAATTAAACATTGCAGGTGCAAATAAATCAGCATTTTCAGAACTGCATTTCATTAGCTAATTTGTGACCACCATAAACTTGGATTTCTTCCCACCAGACTGACTGTGTCAGACCTCAGTTTGACAACTTCAGTGTTCTGAAAAAAAAACCCAAAAAACCCACATGAATTACCTGATTGGAAGTATTGATATTGAAAAGGAACATATCTTTCATGTAAATCCTTGGCATATTGTCCAAAAGCATTCCATAGAGTGGCATGTACAGGTTTGCTATTTGTGCCTGTTTTGCCTAAAAAATAGAAGATACAACATAATCCTGAAGAATCTAATTAACATATACTAGTGGCTAAGGAAGTTTCATGTACATTTAGCTACTGTACGAATGAACAAATGAAAAAGAATAAAACAGTTTCTTTACCGGCTCTGCATATCGATCATCAAATGAATGCTTTGCCATCAAGTTTTTGAGCACAGCCAAAGCTAAGTGCCTAATATCCTGGTCTTCTTGCAAGGCAAAACCAACCTCCCGCAGCAGGACTCCAATTAGAAAATGTTTACGGCAAAATTCATTGGTCAACGTGTACTCTGGAATATCTTGGAACAGAACGGACAAGAATGCTTACATTAATATATAGGTTACATATTCCGCCCCATTTTCCATATTTTCAATAACTTCTGTTGATTTAATCCACTGTTAAACTTGACTTCCTGATCTGACTGCCCCACTCTGCTCCCTCACTTGCTAGAATGAATTAATCTAATATTATTATTTCTTGAAATCATGCAGTTTTTACAATTTAATAATAAAGACAGCTTATATATGGATTGCCATATGAGAATCTTAAATGTTCTGCACACAAGAAGACTATTCACTTCTTTGAGCACAGAGTCTAAATTGTTGTTCCCATATTCTAGCTAGAAGAGGTCTAAACCACAGAGATCCAGACTAATTCCACTTTTGAAAATGGTAAATAATTTTTGCCTAAATGTGCCACAGTTCAGTGGCAGCAGTCAAAATAAATCTTAAAGCTCTTGGTGCACAATTCTGCTTATTTCTTATGCAGTCATTTTGTTCATACCTGATGTTCGATATTCCTGTGTTGATTCTGAAGGCGTCACAGGGTCTTCATTTTTCATAAATATAAAACAAAAATAGGCAAAAATCATGCACCTTCTTTTACTTCAGTGTAAAAAACAAAGTTGCTTTGTATTTTTTTTTTTTAAATTTGAGTCAAATTTGAATGAAACAACTTCTGCTGTTAAAGAAAGCTATTAGTGTCAGAACTGAACTCACTTTTTGGTGCTGAACACTGAAGCAAAAAGAAGACAAAGGCCCATAGTTTGAGAGATGCTGCACAGAGAAATGATTCTGCCTTCCACTGAAAGATACCTTCCACTCTCAGCAACTTAAAAAACCCATCCCAAGTGAATACCTCAGAGCTCGCAGAAAACTGTCAGAACTGGGAACTGTGCCTAGGGCTAAAATCCCAGCACCTTTGAAGCCAAGAGGAAAGCACCCAGTACTGGGCGCTGGCCACAAAGTTAGGTTCAAAATAATGGATTTCAATGCATGAGATGGACTGCACAGTGGCCGCTGGCTTTGGGGCACAGGCAGGGCGGATTCGCTCCTGTGGCAGAGCATAGGTAAAACCGTCTCATGCTTCTCTGCAAAACACGGGTTACACACAGTATCCCCTGCCTTGAGAAGCAGCTCAGGAGGTATTAATAAAAGATTCTGAAATGGTGCTTTCTTGCCTCACTGCTCCAGGTAAAACACTGCAGTACGTGGTGACCAGGTAAAAGTTCAGTCTTGCCAGAGGCCAAGAAAGTAAATGCACTTGGGAGAAAAGGGCGATTGCATGGGACTTGCCTGCCAGTCCTAGAGATATCTAAATACAGTACCAACAGCCTACTATCTGATGTTTCCAAACTCCTACTGCATGTCCAGTTCAGATCTTCCCCACAAAGCAGGGGCTGTCACATGGACAAGTCATACTCCCAACAGCAGCAGGAAAGCCTGTTCCCAAACAGTAGTTTCACAATGCTCTTATCACTGACTCAGCTTCTTCCCCTTCCTGCTGTACCTGTTCAATTCCTTCCCCAGCTCCACCTCCGAGGCCTACTGCAGCTTTAGCAATTAGTCCTCACAAATAGTCCACTTTAGTCACCTCAAAACAGCAAAAGAGTCACCTCCCACCACTTAACTGGGCTGTCAGGGGTTGCATTTATTTACAGGCAGACTGAAATGATGTTATTTTTATCACACAGCCTAATTACCACACCTGAAAAGCCATTTGCGGCTTCTGTGCCTGATCTGCAGACATGATACTTCAGAGAGTTAATTGTTACCTGCTCTTTGAGCCTCCTGATAATTCGCTGTTGTATAGAAACCCTTTCAGGGTGGCACCTTACCAGGAATGTGTGAAGATCGTATGGGCAGGCACAGAGGGATAAAGTGCTCATGGTGACAGACTTCTTGGAGAAAGTCAAATTTGAACTGATGTAAAGTCTGAAAACCACAACAAGCAATAGCTCAGTTCACATTAAAACAGGGAAAATGGTAAGACAGAGCTGCATTACCATTTATCTCTACCTCAAAATTCATACACCCAACAATGAAACCTTGCAGCTCGTTATGCCAAGCTGCACGAATAACAAACATATGGTTTTCATCTCTGTTATCTAATGAACTTCTCACAGTCAAATAAGCTTTTTGGATTCCTCAACTATGATTTTTTCATTGAAGATGTACTGATAATATAAAGCTTGATTCAATCTAAATATTCAAGGTATATTTAAAGCTACATTGGGTCTTTTTGATGGTATACACTATAACATATAATCATAGCAAAGTATTTTCTCCAGTCCACATAAATTTGAGACTGTCATAATTATTATGCCTTTCTTATATTTTCTTTTATTTTTTTTTTCCTTTTTCTTTTTTTTTGTCCAATGAAATAGAAAATTTCAGCCACATGGGCAATATTCAAAACATACTGATAGTGGTGAAAACTTCCTCTATTGATGCTAGTAAGTTCCGGCTCCAAGGGATTTGTGTATTATATAGTTTTGGTATTCCTTCCTTCGTATCGCCCTCCCAAGAAGCCATCCATGATCTTTTGTGGAGCTTTGCAACTACCTCAGGAATTTATCATTCCCACTATAATGATGTGCCACTGAGATATAAAGATAATACATGACATCCAGTAACAAATTTTTATTTCTGTCTTCTTAGCTCACTGTTCTCAGTGGCAGAAAGCAGTCATTCCGGAGTACCAAAATGACATTGCATTGATCTAGGTCAAACATTTGCCTTAGCATTAGAAAGTACTCATAACTGTCTTTTGTTTGCCCTGTGTTTAAGTCTGTTTGTCCCTAACATTAAATTGTAGCATTTCTGCTGCTGCCATCAGGTTAGGATGCCTGGAATGTGCACTTTTCAGAGTCTACCGAGCAGTGGATGGTGGGGAAAGTATTCCTGAAATGTTTTATTGCATTGCAGTACCTCATCAGGAATACAGCTGGACATGCAATTCAGGGCCTAATGGCAAATAAAGAAATGAAGTACCTGAAATGTGTTTCCCAAGAGGAAATGTGACATTATGAGAGAACACAACAATAAACTGAATTCTAATGAGGTATTTCAACTTTTGAAATAAGTGTTTTCCAAAACAATGTTTAAATGTCAAAATACAGAATACTGTGAGGGATATTTCTGTGGAAGAGAAATTATGGTGCTTCACTCACAATTACAACAAATTCAAACTGCAATGTTATAGACTGATATACCCACAAACTATTTATTCAAGAAGCAATATACACTGTTAAATTTTATGAAGAGAGAGGTCAGATTGCAGTATCATCTTTTTTGATACATAAACAATCCTGTTAAAGAAGCACAAGACACACAGAAAGAAATCCTGCAGCACATTTAAATGTCTTAGATGTATGACTGAAAATGAAAACAATGCAAGGTCTCTCTCTTCTTGAAGTCAGACACCTCCAATTTTGTGGTTATTGTTTTCAAGTGCCGCAAAGCCTTTTCCAGTAGTATATCCGTCTCAGCTCCATGGTGATTCCATTTCCACGCATCCTGGCAGACAGCTCTGGAGGGATGCTGGGTGACTGGCAATGTGCATGCAGTTAATGCCAAGGAGGTTCCAAATTCTGCACTGCACACTGACTAATCTCAGGCTTTTCCACTGGCTGTTCATTGGCTTTTTTAATTAAACATCTGTGGTTGAATGTATTTAGGGAAGTTCGAAATGTGGAAACAATTTTCAGATTGCATAATATTATTTACAGAACTGTAGACTTCAGGCTATGACATTAATACCAAGGGACTCCATTCTACATCTGTTCCAGAGATTTGGTGAAAGACTCTAATGCAGCATGAAGCTAGTTTTAGTAAAAAGCAAACCAACCTGGAGTAATCTCAGTCGTTACCTACAAATGTCCAGATCACCACTAAAGAATTATGAAAAGTTAATGGACAAATGTTCTGCAAGTATTTTTTGGAAAGATGTGTCATTCAGAGTATGTATCTCGAATACATTCTGCTATCATCTTATATGCTCTGGTATGATAGCTCAGAATCCCAGTCATGGAAGAGAAAAGTCTGTGACTCATTCTCATGGATGAAGAGTAAAGGAATCAAGCTGAATAATTTGGGTACCTCTTGCAGTTTGAAATTTATTGTTCTAACTATATCATGGACTATTATAGATATTATAGGAGAAATTCAGGCTACAGGGAATCTTCCTCATAGCAAGCACAAACTAATTTGGTGCAGATTCACTTTCTTGCATCATCAATGAGGTAAGAGCATACCATTCATTCAAAGTAACTGAGATGTTACATTCTCACTTGAGTTTACACAATGATAACTTGTTCATACACTCTTAATCTCCGCAAAGAAAACTACTGCAAATTGCTGCTGATATTTATATGGCTCCTTATAGCAGCCTTCCAGTATCTAAAGACGGCCTACAAGAACGCTGGAGAGGGACTTTTTGCAAGGGCACGTAGTGCTAGGGCAAGGCATAATGGCTTTAAACTGAAAGAGGGTAGATTTGGATTAGATGTAAAGAAGTAGTTCTTCACTGTGAGGGTGGTGAGACACTGGAACAGGTTGCCCAGAGCAGCCGTGGCTGCCCCCTCCCTGGCAGTGTTCAAGGCCAGGCTGGATGGGGCTTGGAGCAACCCGGTCTAGTGAAAGGTGTCCCTGCCCATGGCAGGGGGTTGGAACTAGATGATCTTTAAGGTGCCTTCCAACCCAAACCGTTCTAATGATTCTATAACCAAACCACAAGTGTACTCTCCAAAGAATCAAAGCTTAAATTCAGTCTTTTGCATGCTTTGGTCTGAGCAGTCTTTGCAGACTCTGCTCTTGCCAGGGCTCAGTAAGTAGTTGTTTGGACACAGCTATTTACTCACAGAAAAGGGGATAGATGGCCCAAACCCAAGAGGTTTTAACACATATTTACAGTAAATGCTTTCACTGACTTGAGTTCTGAGCACGGTGAAGCCATGGAATAGATCATAAATAGTTTCAATATAAAAATTCTGCTAGCGAGTCACTTTGGAAGAAACAAAACCAAATAAACAAAAAAATAAAAACCATACCTTGCCATCTCCTGTTCCAAACATACTTATATAATTGTTGACCATCTTGAACACGAATCCACGATCCATAAATGTAAAACAGCGCTAGGAAAGGGGGAAAAAAGAATTACTATTTTATAGCCAAAAAAGCAGTACATGGCCTCACCTGGCTGTTTGCCTTGTGTCACGTATAAACTTGATTCATTTGTGCAGGTGAAGTTAGTCTTATAGCAGGGCAAGGAAAACCAGGGAACTGGTGAATCTGACTCAAATTTTAATTTACTTTCAGTAATAATAAATTGGTCAATCTTTTAATTTTCACTCTGTCTACAGTCTAAAATAACTATCACAGTGTACAGTGCACTAGGAGAAACCTTATCTAATGAAAGTCATTCATGTACTGCAACACTCACTCACTAGAGGTGGTATGGGATGGGAGGTGAGCTGAATACCTCCTTCAGTGACAGAGCATTAACTCTGCAGGAATCAATCCAGCCACAATACTCACATACTGTCTATGAGCTGTATTATCTCTCTGGGAGCAAATATGCCACTACATTACTTTATGATGAGAACACTGCTCCTTCTGACTGATGGGGCTAAATAGACAGAGGGCATAAAGGTTTTTGAGGGTCTTGATGCTACAGTTACTGACAATTTTTGCTTGCAGAGTCAGCCTAACAGATAGGGAGTGCAATCTTGAATTCCCCCCTTCTCTGGTGTCCTGAACTATGCAAAACTAGAAAAGACTTGAGCCTTCTGTCACATCACATTCAAACAAGGCTGCTGCAGTCCCAGCCTGGAGAAAGCCATATCCATCTCTAACCTATGTAAATCTTTCTGGTAGACTAGATTCAAAAAGAAATTAAAACACAGCCATATGCCATATCATATAACAGAACATTACTGTCTTCTCAGCCTTTAGCTGAGTAACACACAAAAAAGAGCAAGCAAATCTGCAACACCTCCACAGGTGCAACACCACACAACCACTAAGCCCCCCCGGCCCTGCATTGATGCCTCCGCCTCAAACCAGCATCATCTTCCAAATGATACACACTGTGGATAGATACTGTTTAAGGTCACTATGCCAACAGCAACTAAGGCTTCCACATGGTATGAGCAACAGAGGTCAACATAGCAAGTTTATGAATTATTTCACCTACATATGAAAGGAGAAAAATCCACCTTCAGTTTGCGGTTGTTTTCCTTATAAACTCACAGGGATATTTTATTGCTGGAATACTGCTATGTCCAAATGCTGTGCTTCAATTTGTCATAAAAGATTTGAGCCTGGGTTTCACTGTATACTACATACAATGTTCTGTGCATCATTAACGTACATCATTCCATTAATGGAAAGCGTGTGTGTGTGTGTGTGTGTGTCCAGTTTAAATTTAGATCAAGTATCTGGCCACACAACGTATTGAACGACAATTTTCCTATGCTCCACAGATAATTCAGTGCTGGGAAAATAAAAATGATTGAGAAATATTAGGACAAAACCATAAAAGGCAACCCCTTTTAGTGGATTTTTCCAAAGCATGCATGCATTTTCTTATATTTGGCAAATGAAAGGGCATTACAGAGTTAAAAACGTAGGTTACAGTATTTCACATAATACTTGCAATTTGCTTATTCTGGTTTGTAAAAGCTGCCTACTCCAGTTGTGATTAGGAAATACTAATCCACCCGCAGTCATGAAAAAATACCAGCTCAACTGGAACTACGGTTTAAACAAGTGCCCCTCCTTACCAAACTTTTTACCCATTTGAATGTAAGAATCTGCAAAATTTGAAAACTTGGTCTCTTTAAGGAATAGATATAAATTAATCAGAATTGCTGTAAAGAAGACTTAGATAAACCTTTTGCATTCTCAAAGTCCCAAGGGCATAGAAAAACTGAACTATAGGTCAACACTAAATTTGGAAACTGAGCCATCATTCACTCAGAATTGTTTTTATTTCCTTTGACTAGACTAGAAGAATCTCAAGTTTGCATTAAGTATGGGGAAATAAGTGCATATGCGGAAACGACAGAACATCTCACCTTGAGAAATCTGGCAGTGCTGTAGTTTGCATTCCTGGTTTCTTCAAAAGCATCTTTGTACTTCCAAACAACATGGTCTGCTAAGACCATCACAAGTGTATCCAGCTCAGTTTGAAACGGTTCTGGAAACCTCTGAGTTCGAGAAACCTAAGCAGGGAATAAGATCATCACTTGAGGGCGTATAATGTTGCACATTAAACATGAAAACACATTCAGGCCAAGAATAAAGACAATAAAACACAGATCATTCAACACAGAAGACAAATATTCCTAGCATTCCATGGATCTATTCTGAGTATAAATCCCAAAAGGAAGAATCTGGTCCATAGGAAAGCAGGAAATTTTATCCTCAGATTCCAGCACAAGTATACCAAGCGCATCTTTGATAATCAGGAAGAAAAGAGGTCAAAGCACTGATCTTCAGCTATGTAAGGTTTGCTCAAAGCAGAGTTTCTAGATCATTTATTTGCTGTCTGGCATAATCACCTGTTGGGTAACCAGCAAAAATTAGAGAATTCTCATTCCATTCTAACCCACCTGTTAAAAAGCTGATGTGACTGTATTTTTGGCCCACCAGTTCTGTACAAGCTAGTATAGGTTTGAGCCTAACAGGTAATATAGTGTTTTTTGTGGGTAAAACCAATATTTTAGAAAGTATAACAGCATTTCTTTTTTTGACCAGTCAAGAAGAAAAGTCTGGGTATGTATTTCCCACAATTCCATATTTTCTGTTTTCCTTAAGAGACTGATTGCCTACTTAACTGAGATCACATATATACTTACCTTTGTTTTCTTTGTATCAACCAAGTGCTGTGCCATTGATTTTAAGATAACTGCAAAGAAGAACCAGGAATGCTGTTTAAAAGAAGGAAAAAAGAGATTAGGAAAAATGATTATCTGATAAATACTTTATGATGCATTACCATTCCTTATAGAGGGATTGCATTTCTCAGTAATGCACAATGATAAACTCTACGTGACAAATAAACAGCCTAAGTGCCATGTGTTTGAGTGATATTGGATCACGTCCTTAAGAGAGCTGAAGCCATTTTTGCCACTGTAGCTCTGTGCAATAAGGAGCCTGCAAACACCTCTGCTACAGTTCTTCCATTTCTGCTGAGCAGTCTTCATTGTTTGCAAGTAACTAGTAGAAATGCATGATGCAGAGAACCTCAGAGAGCAGAAGGTGAGAATAAACTGCTATGTTAGCTCCGGCCGATTGGTAGTTTGGCCTAGAATAAGATGGCACTTGTTTAAAGATAAACAGAATGGTTCTTCAAATACCATTTGTAATATTCTACAGGTAGGATACAGATTAATATCTGTATTGTCACATATCTCAGGAGATACGCGAAACAAATACACTCAAGAAGCTTACAAATTGAAACAAACAATGCCCCACAACAAACCCAACCACAAGTACTTCTGCACAACTCAGGTTTCCTGCAGGCCAGGTTTTCTGGTTTTTTCAGCCTATTTTTGCCATTCTAGTGGCTCAGCATAGGAAATCAGAACTGGTTCACTCTAAACAATTGAACATATTTTTGCCACTGGGAACTCCTGAGCTGGCCTGGTTAGCTCTTATACCAGAACGGACAGGCTCAGTGATGGGGCTTGCACATGTATGAATTTCTTAGACCTGGTTTGATATGGGAAACCTTAGGAAACCTCAGTCGTTCTCATTTTGGTCACTGCCAATCAAAGGGAGCAGCTGAAATCGGATATAAATGTCCTACTTGCAGATGAATACTCTCCCTGCATCTTCCAAAATAAAAATTAAAACAAGTGTCCTAAGACTAATTGCTCACATCATATTGTGTAAGAATTAGGTTTCTAACTCAGACTGAGCTGTAACAGAAAGGAGGAATTTTACTATGCAAGGCACAGCATTCTGAGAAACGTGGTATGCTGAGAAACTGTAGCAAGGCTGGTAAGTCTGTTGAATCACTGCAGGATGAGATTTGTGCAAAGTTCATATAGAAAGAGGAGATGAGAAAGAGATGTGACAGGCAGAAAACCAGTAGAAAATGCACAAATGTGCTAATTCAAGCTATCATTCACCTTTAAAACCTGTTTCACTGTTACTTGGTCATTTGACTTCAGAAGACCAGTCATATTCTTGGCCAGCTCCTCATGAACAGTCCTTTCTTCAAATGATTTGGTCCTGAACACATACTGAAGAAGAAAGGAAAAATAAAAATTATCAAAATGTACATTAAAACAGATATAAAAAAACTCAGTAGGAGAAGATAAATTATTTATACACCACTAACAGCTGACAATCTTGCCTGCCAAAATATCCTGACTGAACAATACATCCACATAAAGTTTAATTCCCCTAGCAGCAACAGCATAACACTGCTTCCCTGCAAAATCCCAGTTTTAAACACAACTTCCTGTTGATTTCGGCTTAATGTGAACCAAGAGGAATTTCTGCTTAAAATCAGTGCTATGATTTATTTTTTCAGTAGGCCATAGGATCCTGACACCTCTGAACTGCCTTTCAAGACATTTCACCAGGGTGAAAAAAAGAATAAGCAAGCAGAGGAAGTACGGAGGGTTTTTTACCCACCTAGTCAGGGCCACCTTTCACTTGCTCGTTTCTTCCAGTGCCAACAGGTAGTCAGAGCTGGTAACAACTCCTCATCCTGAAAGGTGTAGAGCACCCACTGGAGCTGACACAAGGGGAAAACTATACCCCTTTTAGAAATCCAGCCCTCAAGAAAGGAATTTATCTACCAAGTTGCTCAGAACTCACAGATCTAGTATGAGCTTTATTCAACATTTTAAGCTAATAATATGGTATTGGAGTGCATTACTCCTTCTCTAAAGCAAGAGCTCTGCCAGTGCATCAGTCGTGATGAAATACCTTTCCAATTCAACCAGGTAGGTAAAAAAAAGGAGCATCACTTGAAAATATTAATACTCAGCCTTGTTTCCTGAGCAGATGCCATAAGCTTCTCCCTATGCAGTTTGACAATTCTGAGTCTAGTTATTTAAATCAATGTAATTTTGCATTATTATTGCATCCAAGTGACTGACAATTCTCAACTTACTTATTCCCAAAAGAGCATTTCTAAACTAGGTATTAATTTCCTTACAGATGGATAAAAGAGATTAACAGTTATTGGCTTTTCACTGTGCTGGAAATGGGAAAACAGGCTAAATAGACTTTTGGTGTGGCCTAATAATCACCTGTTATTTCAAAGATATTTAGCCGCAATAGGTGTCTATTGCAATTTTGAAAAGTTATTGAGCAGAATAGTTGTTAATAGCCATTTAATTAGCCACATTTAAATGTTACACAGGTTATTTATTTTGGAGCCTGAACAGTTCTCCTGGACCTCAGAAGAATTCCTCTGTGCTTAAACCAGAGTACTTGAGACTAAAATTTGACTACTAAGATGCTGAGATGCATCACCCATAAACACATACTTTCATGAAGCATGAAAGTAAATCCATACCGTGGAAATATCAAACAACACTTGTCAACACTGAAATTAAAACAGTTTTCCCATTTAGTAACCTATCTCTTACTACATTTTCATTATTCTACTCATGAACATGCTAAAGTTTTAGAGTTCATCAGGAATGTATTTGCTTTCATTGTAGGAATAAAGTTAATATAACACTGCCCCCACCCCCCACCCCCAACTTATGCCACATATATTACTCATAATCCACAAATGAAATGCATATTGTGAAAACTACTTGTTGCACAATGAATCAGAACATCATTACAGCAGCCTACTCCTATGCTCCTAGAAGCTCAGTGGAAGTGCATTTGCACTAGGTCTTGCTTCTAAAATGTAAGCTCTAGTCATCATCCAACTATGGGGAAATGTCTCTCCCACATCCCTGTACCCTTTAAGAGGGCACTGCAGCTTCCTCCTCCTGTGCTTGTTCAACTTGGTGTCCTGTGGAAAGCAAGCTGCACCCATGCAGAGGAAACATAAGCAGCCCTTCATCCTCCTCAACGGAGTAAGGTCACAAGCAGGATGCAGCTGAGTTTGGTGGAGAAGGGCACTCCATGGAGTGTCCCTGCTCTACAGGATGCTCTTAAAGCACAGAAAGAGAGTGTAGTTTGTTCAAGGTAACACAAGAAATTTATAGCAGAGGAGGAGAATTGACTCACAGCCTCTTCCAAATCTTACATTAGTTTCCCAAACACAGTCACCCAGCCTACTGGTGTCAGAAAGCTACGGCGCAAATATAGAGAAAGCTACAAACAAGTACAACTAAGAGTAAACAGGAAAAAACCCCACAAAAACCAACCCCCGCCATAAAATAGTTAACAGTATAACAGCAAACATACCGTCACGTAGGAATTGATGCAGTTGTCTAGTTGTTCTTCATGGCACTTAGCAACAATGTTAGTGAGAACCCTGCAAGATAAAAAAAATACCCCCCCCATCATTAAAATTGAGCTGTTTTGTGTCATAAGGCAGAGAAAGTCTATCTGATGCATCACATTGTTCTGTTACTGTAGCCCCATTTAAAACAGTCCATGAGGGATGTAGTCCAAATGATGAACAGTGTGCGCAGGAACTGTCCCACTGGGAAAAACCAGCCAATTCTTAGGCCCTCTACTTTCACAGATTGTGCCATTATATATGAGTTTGTCCAACAAAATGCACCCAGTTTTAATGATTAGAACTGTACTGACAACAAAAGAAAACTATTAACTGACTAAAGCTTATACAGACCTTGGATGATTAGGAATAAGAAAAATGAGAGTACGTTAATGAAACAGAGAGGCAAGAGCCTCTTTCTCTGGGAATGCTACTTGTCAGGTTCTCTCAGATTTTGATAATTCTGGAAAGCTCTGATACATTGCTTATGACAGCACTGTTAATCACAGACAAACACAAGCCTAGGCTCAAGCCTGAGTGTGCCCCCCTCCTGCACTGCTTGCCCATAACCTTGGAGTCAGCCACAGCTTGAGCGCCCAAGCACTCAGGAGTGAAAGGCCGAGCACAGGACCCTCTCGTTACTGCACAGCAGGGAGAGGCTGGACACTCAGTGCAACCATAGATGCTTTGAGCTTGGTGATCAGCAAGAAGAAGGAAAACTGCCTGGGTCATGCCAGCACCCACTCTCACAACCTGAGCTTCTACTAACAGCGGAGATGCCACTACTTGAGACCAAGTGTTTCAGCAAAGTTTTCTTTTCAATTTGTATCTGGGCCATCTTTGTTTAAGATCACTCTGTTTCAGAAAACACAAGTCTGAGCAAGAAGTCATTTTCAACTTAACCATGAGATTTCCTCTTGATTATTAGGATCTCATTTTTTCAGGATACTGAATATAGAAAAGACTCTGCAATTTTATAATCTTATTTTTATGTTGAAAGAATAGGGAGAAACCAGTTCATGATTCTCAAATGTCAAAAATTAGTGAACTGTATCTCAAATTCAGGGGCATACAGAATAACAGTGTGACTAAAATGGACTATTAATATGCCTGACTCTGGTCCACACACAAGTGTGCATTTTGACTAGCTTGGTGATTTGAGTGTTTTCTGCCAATTCTTATTATTGGATTCAAAAGCTTTGTAATTCTTTTAAGTCAGTATTTTCCATTATCTCATTTGCTATTAGTAGAAGTAAACTTGTAGCAAAACACAAAAGCTATGACAAAAATAGTTGTGCCCATTCTGATCCTTCAACCTTTATTCTGATTTGAATTTGAAATGAGTTCTGGCAAAGATGAGACAGAGAAATGATGACATGACTGGGCCCCCAGACAAGTAAATAACTGTGATAGGAGTATAAAAGGAATAATGTTTTCTCCCCAACACATAAGCCAATCTATGCTTTCATTCTGTTGTTGTTGCTTTTAATATGTTCAACACAAGCTGCTTCAAGCTATTCAGAACAAAATACAATGTGTGTATATATAGGACACATCAATGAATGGCACACACAGCAGACATGCATATTCCTGTTGACATCAACTCTACCAGCACAAAAGCCACCAGATACACACAGAAAAACACTGAGAATCCTTCTTTTCTCTTTTTGGCCAGGTGGGTGTATAGTCAAAATCTGAAGCATGAAAAGATTCACATACTTCCATCTATATATTAAAACCTTTTTTTTTTAAACAGCTGTTTCTTCTACAGCATTTATTTTCCAGTCAGTTAACCAATACTGAAATTCTAGCCTGTGACACAATTCTTTATTCTCTCTATCTAGCCTTAACATCAGTTGATTTGTTGGTCATAAAGGGTTCTGAACAAAGGTCCGACTGCCTCTCTCCCTTTGAAAAGCATATGCAGTGATGAATGATGAAATCACACATGTTTACAAGGAAAGGTTCTTCTAATCCTAGTGCCTAGGTGTGGTAAAACTGGACTTTGCCCTGGAAGGTGCCATGATCCTTTGAGAAAGGATAGAGAAACTCTAGCTTTCCAAGGCTAAGATAAGGAATTCTGCTTCCTTGCTTTAAGCTTTCCTAATTAATCTTTCTTCAGGAACTAATTCTGAAGAACAATCTGTGGAAAGAAAGAAAACATACTGACAGCAGATTAGTCTAATAGGGTTGCTGAGGACAGTTGACATTTTTTCCTACTAGTTGTATTGTAGTCCCCACGTTAGCTACTGGCAGAAGTACAACAAAAACACCACTGTGGCCGAAAGAAAATGCAATGCAACTTTCTGCCCTCCTGCAGAGACCAATAATAATCTCTCCAGTATTTTTTTTTCCTGCTGCCCTGATTAACAGCATCAATAAAGACAATTTCATTATGTGAGGGTTGAGAGACTCAGCAAATCATTCCAGCTATTTGCCTGCTCACTGGAAAATGCTTCCATTGCTCTTCAGTTATTGCTGATATACTCTAATTAAAAAATGCCCCAGAACAGTGTGAACTGGTTGATTGACTCTGCGTTTGATGCTGCAAGACACTAAGCTCTTCCTATGCTGAACTCCACATCCACAGGCCCAAATATAAACCAAAATTGATATTCAGCTTTGTTAGGGAGCAATTAGTTCCTTAAGAATGAGACCTTTACCTATGTTTGCCTCAGGGTACAGAGACATGTCCACCATGGTCAATGATTTCCTGGTTGGTATCAGAGTCAGCTGCATAATACCATGCTTTTCCATAGATTATTTGTAGAGCCCTGTGTTGAGGGGGAAGCAGGCATTCTCACGTGCTGAAGTCTAAATGTCATAGTCAGACTTTGTAAGAGCAGCTATAACTGGACTAACATCTACATTTGCACTCTAGAGTAAATTCTTTTCCTCTAAAAATATTTAGATATATATTTAGAAAATATTTAGATACCTGGTCACAGCTGTTGTAACTTCATCATCACTGTTTTGCACCAGAACCCAGAGGAGTTGATTCAGGACTACAGGAAGAAAATTCATAATTACATGGATCTTCTCAATCCTCAGCAAATTCTGTAATGGATGCAAGAAAGAAAGGAGAGATTTCCAATATGAGCAAAGAAAGCTGATACTTGCTTTTCTGCTTCAGCAGGTAAAATGCAGTGCAGCCACTGGTGTAATAGCAGTAGGAAAACAGGACAACTAAGTAGAGGACCAGCTCCCCATGAAGTTTGTTTTAAATATGACCATCAACACAACTGTAGGTATTGTCCAAATTTCATAATTCCAATATTCTGCTCTACCCCGACTTCAGGAAAAAAAACACCTCCCTCCCCCCTGCCCCCC